AAAGAGAGCAAAATGCTGAATAGCCTGATAAAGCATTGGCTGGTTGGAGAATGATCAACGTGGGGAGTTCAGCTCAGTGACCTGCAGATCTTTCTTAGACTTATGAACCTATGTTGGTGACGTCCAGGCTGAGCAAGCTACACCCAGGTTTTGCTTTGAATCTCTGGCCTGGAGGTTTGCGGTCTCTCTTATCGGCCTTCTCTATTTTCCTAGGCAGACAGCACAAAATCATTGTGCTCTTTATTGTGGTAGAAAATGTATGGCTAATTGAGAAATAAATTTTAAGAGAACCAACAGCAACTCGGAAAGGGGGAAGAAAAGAACATAATGAAAAGAAAGAGAGCATTTTTGTGACTGGGGAATAATGCGGTCTGCATGTTTGCGTGCAGATTTTGTGCCGTGACCAGTAAAAGCTGGAATAAATAAGGCAGTGATCAATAGAGACTCCAGTGTAATGTTACTCATTACCATTCTGGGAGCAAAAAGGCCAGAGATGATATCAAACATCAGCCCCCTGTTCCCCTCGAGAAAGCCTACTGATAGGGCAGAGGATGCCAACTGTGAGTCATTCATCGCTGGCTTCAGGTTTCACAACAAAATGATTTTGTGTTTGCAAAAGATCGGCCTGGTGGCAAACAGAGCTCTCTTTCAGCACTGGGATTCTTGGAACGTGCATCGTATATTAGCCTTGAGATGCCATACACCAACACCACAGATTAGCAAGCATAGGAGGGGGCTCTCCATTACACACATTAATATGCTGTTCAACTTGTATAACAAGAGTTAACAGGAGGATATTTGCTGGGGAGCATAAAACAATACAGTGGTGCCTCGGGTTAAGTACTTAATTCGTTCCGGAGGTCAGTTCTTAACCTGAAACTGTTCTTAACCTGAAGCACCACTTTAGCTAATGGGGCCTCCTGCCGCCGGAGCACGATTTCTGTTCTCATCCTGAAGCAAAGTTCTTAACCTGAGGTACTATTTCTGGGTTAGCAGAGGCTGTAAACTGAAGCGTATGTAACCTGAAGCGTATGTAACCCGAGGTACCACTGTACTGAGAGACTACCCCACTCTCCAAAACCCAGACAGGCATATTTCTCTGCTAAATTAGTCATTTCCCACAAGGGCCACCAGGCTAGAAGGTGAGGCCTGACTTTTTGGTCAGCTTGCAGGTAGCACCTGACAGTTCTGGCAGGCTAAGGGGCAGCATAATAGAGTCTCACAGAGTTGGAAGGAAATGTGGAGGCCATATAGTCCAACCCACTTCTGAATGCAGGATACAACTACAACATCCCTTACAGATGGCCAACCAGCCTCAACTTATAGACCTCCAGCAAAGGAGAGAACCTGTCATCTTCCAAGGCAGTCTGTTCAGCTGTGGAATGGCTCCTATTGTTAGCATGTTTTCTGTTTGGATTTTGATGAATGAGGACCAGAGCTTATTCAGCTTGGGTGTGAAGGTCAACAGAAACAGACTACAGTTGTCAAACCAACTTCCACCATGGCTGAGGGTTCACATGAGGAATCAGGCAGCTGAAGCTTGACCCAGAAAAAGCTTCAGCTGCTTCATTGCTTCTTGTTGCGCTGTTAAAGGAATCGCTTGCAGCAGGTGCGCCACTGCCACTGCCTACCCTCTCCTGCAAAGTCTCACAGAAGACAAATCCTGTTCTACACAAGCAGAATGAGATGATAACAGCCTGTAGTGGATGTACTGCTTCAGATGGCAGGTGAACAGGGCTATTTGGAATCCTCCGTTATATAAAAACAAAGAGAGAAATAATCCTTTCTGAAATTAAAAGCAGAGGTGAAAGTTTATAGCGCAGTCCTTTTCTTACTGTGCTAGTTTCCCACATGCCGATAGGTTTTGCTTGGTTTTAGAATTGATGCTTTTGAATTATGGTGCTGGAGGAGACTCTTGAGAGTCCCATGGACTGCAAGAAGATCAAACCTATCCATTCTTAAGGAAATCAGCCCTGAGTGCTCACTGGAAGGACAGATCGTGAAGCTGAGGCTCCAAGACTTTGGCCACCTCATGAGAAGAGAAGACTCCCTGGAAAAGACCCTGATGTTGGGAAAGATGGAGGGCACAAGGAGAAGGGGACAACAGAGGACGAAATGGTTGGATAGTGTTCTCGAAGCTACCAGCATGAGTTTGACCAAACTGTGGGAGGCAGTGGAAGACAGAAGTGCCTGGCGTGCTCTGGTCCATGGGGTCACGAAGAGTCGGACATGACTAAACGACTAAACAACAACAAAAGGTAAAGGGACCCCTGACCATTAGGTCCAGTCATGACTGACTCTAGGGTTGCGGCGCTCAGGGAAGCATTAAAAATGAGATACCCCTAGCTGCAGTCTGAAGTGGTACAATTCACTCTACCACCTCTGGATTCCCTTCATTCCCAACTCATTCTGCTCCATGTGGAGATCAGCCCAGGGTGGGAGTTAATAGCTACTGACACTGGCTAGAGTAGCAGCTGGAGAAAGGGATAGAATTACTCTCTGCTTCCCAGTTTTTCTTTCTGGGGATTTTCTAATTTTTTAAATATTGAAATTTGGATTAGGGTTAGAACCGGAGATGCTTCCAGATGGGTGCCATTTTGCTATCTTATAATACGCACCAAATCCCGGGGTTTTGTTTTTTTAAAAAATCAATAAATAAATTTTGTGCTTCGGAAAGTGATGGCGAAATGCACTGAAAATTGTGGGATGGATGAATGGAAAGATGTATGAACACCCCACAAGCAAATCAGAATGAATATTCAGTCAAGGCTGGGCATAGTCCAACCTCCAAGGGAGCTTTGTGCAAGCGAATCAGGATGAATGCTCAGGAGGTCATCTGCAGAGGCCCCTAAACTAGAGTGAAACCCCACTTAATAGCCTCAGAAGAACAAATTAGTCTAGCTAGCTCCCAACCATAGAAAAGTCAGAATTTGAAAGCCAGAGCAAAAGCACCCCCAAATTTGGAGAGGAAATTTCTATACCCTTGTGGAATTTGAATGAGTAGCTTAGAACAGAGAATCACAAAGGGAAATATAGGAAGGTGACACATAAAATGCAGCCTAATAAATACCCATTTGTCTGTTTGCCTGGAAGCTAGAGATAATTGTGAACTAAATGCCTGTTCTAGCATAGAGTGTGAATGATCAAAGTGCTCTTCACATCATGGGAAGTAAATAAGCTTCTAATTTGGCATTTCATTTGCAGGCCCAAGTACATTATTTGTATGATTTTTTTTTTTTTTTAATCCATTACCCACCCTCTGAAATTATTGGTTCATTTGCCTGACAGAATAAGGAAGAGTAAAAGGAAAGGAAAATATTATTACGTTCATCTGCGCTAAACAAAACTCAGTTTGCCTCAGCCAGGATGAGAGGTTTTAATGCAAAACTCTCCCCATATTATTTGTGTTTATTTATTTATTTCATTTATACCTTGCCTTTTCTCCAAGTACATGGTTCTCCTCATGTCCATTTTAATTTCGCAACAACCCTGTGAGGTGTATTGAGGAGGGGAGAGGGGACAAACGGAATGTTCCATGCTATTTTCTACACGAATGTGTTTTCTGCATAGGAAACATGAAACAGCCCTTGTTTAGTGTGCTGTGTTAAAAACAAACATCCTTTTTTACCAATGCAAAAGAGCACATTCCCATCATGAGCTCTGCTTTGTAGGATTGGGGCACAAGTAGTTACAGCTCAGTGGAACAGAGCATGCTAGAAGGAAATAAAACAGCTGACGCCGAAATTGTCACACAGAAGCATAGAATCATTCTTCAAAGGATACTGTGAACATAGGAAAAAGAAAATTTATGGTAAACTGAACTGCAAATTATGCCAAAGGGTTTATTGTAATGGAGAGTTGTTGATGTTCCTTAAGTGGCTGGAATGAATGCCTGTGTTGTCTTCCAAACAGATCATGACTGTATCACAAGCAACAGCTGAAGTTCAGGCTTCTAGGTCCTTCTAGTCCAGGCTTCCTCAAACTTGGCCCTTCAGATGTTTTGAGAGTACAATTCCCATCATCCCTGACCACTGCTCCTGCTAGCTAGGGAGTTGTAGGCCAAAAACATCTGGAGGGCCAAGTTTGAGGAAGCCTGTTCTAGTCAATTAATGCTGTTTCTAGTCCTGTTCAGCTGAGGAGAAATTTTTTAAAGAAATAACTAGGCTATACAGTGGTACCTCAGGTTACATACGCTTCAGGTTACAGACTCCGCTAACCCAGAAATAATACCTCGGTTTAAGAACTTTACCTCAGGATGAGAACAGAAATCGTGCTCCGGCGGCACGGCAGCAGCAGGAGGCCCCATTAGCTAAAGTGGTGCTTCAGCTTAAGAATGGACCTCCAGAACGAATTAAGTTCTTAACCTGAGGTACCACTGTATAAGAATTTATTTCCAAATTCTGTAATATTTATTATATTCACATTCCCTCCAGTTTTATCCTTACATCCCACCTTTCTTTCCCTCTCTCCATTTTATCCTCACAAGAACCCTGTGAAGTAGGTAGGCTGAGAGATAGACCAGCCTAGGGTCTTCCCAGTGAGCATCATGGCTTGGTGAAGATTTGAACCTGAACCTCCCCAGTCCCTCTCTAACCTCTACACCATCCTGGCTAGCATCAGAGTGTTATGACAAACACACTTGGGATAAACATCAGCTTTCCCTCTTTGACCCATTTTGCTCCTCTTTCCTATGCAAACTCCTCCTGCTGCTGCCAACTTTTGGTCCCCTGCTCACATCAGCACGCTACCTTGTGAATAGCCCTCATTTAAACCTTCTGGTGAATACAACACCACACTGCACCTTGCTGTCTTGAGGTATGAAATAATATTTATTTAAGCTGCACATACTGATAGCCAGCTCTAGCACTCTCCTCTGCTTATGTGCAACTGAGCTGGTCTGAAGCCATTTCATCTCTGGCAGAAGCAGTAGTCTTCCTGTAAACTGCAACATGATTACTGACATTTCTTCCAATGCAAACAGCCATTGTCAACTTGTATGGCAGAAAGAGGAACAACATCTTTATTATGGGGTGCAGTTGGGGAGGCATCAGTTTGCAGCTGCCGAGCACATGAAGGTGAGTGTTCTCTCTGTATAATGTGCATGGCTAATAGAAATCAACAGGTGTTAGACATGTGCTTATTCAGGTGGGGCACGGGTGGTGCTGTGGTCTAAACCACTGAGCCTCTTGAGCTTGCCGATCAGAAGGTCGGCGGTTTGAATCCCCGCGACTGAGTGAGCTCCTATTGCTCTGTCCCTGCTCCTGCCAACCTAGCAGTTCAAAAGCATACCAGTGCAAGAGATAAATAGGTACCGCTGTGGCGGGAAGGTAAATGGTGTTTCTGTGTGCTCTGGTTTCCGTCACAGTGTTCTGTTGAGCCAGAAGCGGTTTAGTCATGCTGGCCACATGACCTGGAAAGCTGCCTGTGGACAAATACCAGCTCCCTCGGCCTGAAGCAAGATGAGCACCACACCCCATAGTCGCCTTTGACTGGACTCAACCATCAAGGGGTCCTTTACCTTTTACCTTTACCTTATTCAGGTATATACTTCTGTGTAATTTATTTATTTAGTTCCCTCTTTTTCTCCAAACAATTCAAGGTAGTTGTACACACTCCCCCCCCTCCTTTTTTTCCTTGCAACAACTCTGTGAGGTAGGTTAGTGAGGCAGTGACTATGATCACCCAGTGAGCTTCATGGCCGAGTGGGGATTAGAACCCTAGTCCAGCACTCGTAACCACTGCACCACATTGATTCTCTGTTACTGAAGCCACATATACAGTACAATGCAATGCAATGCAATGCAACTAAAATAATTAATATTAATTATATTACTAAAATCACTTGAGCCACTTCCTAAAATGACCCACAACCAACTATTTTAAAAGGATGCGTCTCCTCCTAATAGAAGTTTATCCAGACCATCTAACAAAGATACATATTCAGGAATAAAATCCTGTTCCACAGGTCTGTTCCAAGCCACCTCTGTGATGCTTTTATCTCCTCTGACAATATTACTGTCGGGGCAACTGTAAAAACATAAAATAAAATCTGAATTTAAAAATAATAGCATACTACTACCTGACCTAGTGACAGTAGCTATAGAATTAAGAATCAATTCATCTGCACTTCCAGAAATGTCCTATATTACATCACTTGCCAGCAATGTCTTCATTTCAGCATCACTGTCACTAAGTCAAAGATGCTTTGCCCATCATATTTTTCTTCCACAGAACCATGTGTGTGAAAGACACATTATGCAAGATGCAATGGGGCTGTTCTTTTTTGGCCATGAGTACACTGACTGGGAAGTCACGCAGGAATCTCTGCATAGGAAATTGTTACAACTCTTTGATAACGGATGTGAAGTGCATTATAGACACTTTTAAATAAAAACAACAGGTAGAAACTGAGGTATCTGCAGTCACAATATAGGAAGCTATCATATGAAATCAAGGTAGAAGCTGTATTTCTGAGCAACCTTTCTTCCCTGAAAAATAGGTACGTGTGTTACCCTACCGAAATGACTTTGGGTTGCAGTGAAAATTAGAGGTCTAAATTACTTAGAAGCCACCTGGGCATTAAGCAGTGGATTCCAGGTCCCACCTTGTCCTTATTGCTTAGAGTCATTTGAGAAAGCTGCAGCCAACATGGCACCCATTGGTCCTCCCTAATGCCCATAAACAGAATATACCTCTTAAGGCCTTATTCATGGATAGCTCAGTTGGTTAGAGCGTGGTGCTGTTAATGCCAAGGTTGCAGGCTCGATCCCCATATGGGGCAGCTGCATATTCCTGCATTGCAGGGGGTTGGACTAGATGATCCTCAAGATCCCTTCCAGCTTAAGAATTCTATGATTCTATGTAAAAAAATGCATCAAAATTGCACATAGCTTCTAAATGTCAAGGTAAATCTGAATTTTTTATTTGATTTGATTTTTTAAAAAACCAATCACAACATTTAATACACTCTTTTGACAGAGGTGAAAGATGTGTTCCTTATTTGACAGCTTGTTGTTGTTGTTAATTTATTATTTATACCCCGCCCATCTGTCTGAGTTTCCCCAGGTTATGCTGTTGAAGTTGGGAGCCTCGTCTAGTTATTGTCTCCAAACTGAGTTATATGCCACACGTTTACATAACTGTCCCTCCACAACCCCCGTCCCTTTTCTCTTTCAGCTTCAGCTGTTCAGCAGCTCTGTCTCATATAAAAGGACCACCTTCCTAATCTAGTTTTATGGTCTGATGACCAGGATGGTGCTTGGTTTGCTTTCAAGGCAGGAATATGAGAAAGAAGATCCCTATTGACAATTCAGACTAATAGGATTGCTGTATGTTATTTCCCTACTAGTTTGGTTTCCCTGCCAATATCCTCATCTGAAAGTCTGGAGAAAATCCCAGTCAGAGGGATGCAGAGCTCCACAATCCTCAGCAGCTTTGCGGAAAGCCAACAGCTTGGAATACTTCTGCCCAAAGTAGATTTTGTTTAAGAAACCAAAACAAATCTATGCCACCGTACAGTGCTTTCCTAGGATCAGTTGTTCCAATTGCCTCCTGCTGTGGGTTACAAGTATGAAAGATCTTCTGGGAAAGCAGTGATCAAGGCATCTTATCCCACTGCCAGGAACAGGATTTTTCAGGAGGCCTTCTTAATCCATCAGAATCAAGATGAAGAGGTGGAGGGAGGGTTTTGAAGAGAACAGCCTTATCTTAAATTTTGAGAAGCAAGATAAGGGAGAACTTAAAATGCAACATTTTGGTCTCATTCCCCTCCTGGAGATGAGGAAAGGGATGCAAGTTGAAGTCATTTTTTCCAATTCTGATATCCCCATTGAAAATAGACATATATGCAGGTCTACTTCAGAATGAGAAACTGGATAACACTGCAAGTTTGTTTGGTTTATTTATTTATTTATTAGAAAACAGTATCAGTGCATTAATAATGTTTCAATTACACAAACAACCTCCGTCTTCCCCTGCATAGCTGGTTGCTGTTATCGCGAATTCTCCCTGCGTGTGTGTTTACAAAGGTCATCTACTCAATACTTTATAAAAAGAAACATATCTTTGTGTTCACAAAACACCCAATTAGTTTGTCAAATGCCAACATTTCCTTACAGAAAATGCCGCTGTTAGAACCACCTCTTCCGCCTATTAACTGCTCTTCATCTCTCCTTTTAAAGTAAAACTGGAGGCTATCATTTGGTTTCTGCCTGTTAGCGAAGACATTTGTTACCACCTGTCTCAAGTAATTGTATGTTTTGAGTGGTTTCCTACGATAAATTACAGGCCACACAGAATTGCATGGGTAGAGTACACACTGCACACTGCACTCCTGGTTTAGGCAGCTTGTTGTGAAATGCAAACCACAGTCTACCTATATTAAGCATTCCAAATGCAGTTGGGATTGAATGCATGCGCACACTGTGTGGTAATGTGCATTCAGTGCTGGATGCAAGTACCTTTTGGGGGCAAGGGGTGCACACACAACATAAACCTGACGTCATCCCTGCCCCCTCTCCATAATATTCATCCAATCTTAACTGCATTCTGCTGGAACAGTCAGAATCCTTCTGTGCTGAGAATATACTTCTCCAGCACTTGCTGCACACATGTGCACACAGAGAGTGCTTTCTCAGGTCACCTCCTATTGGAGCAGACCTACTGACATTGCAGGGCTGTGCCACACCTCCTACCATCTCTGTAGCCCGAATGTTGTTGTTTAGTCGTGTCCGACTCTTCATGACCCCTGGACCAGAGCACACCAGGCACTCCTGTCTTCCACTGCCTCCCGCAGTTTGGTCAAACTCATGCTGGTAGCTTCGAGAACACTGTCCAACCATCTCGTCCTCTGTCGTCCCCTTCTCCTTGTGCCCTCCATCTTTCCCAACATCAGGGTCTTTCCCAGGGAGTCTTCTCTTCTCATGAGGTGGCCAAAGTACTGAAGCCTCAGCTTCACGATCTGTCCTTCCAGTGAGCACTCAGGGCTGATTTCCTTAAGAATGGATAGGTTTGATCTTCTTGCAGTCCATGGGACTCTCAAGAGTCTCCTCCAGCACCATAATTCAAAAGCATCAATTCTTCGGCGATCAGCCTTCTTGCTACCCGGCAAATTATTCTTGATCCATAGCCACGTGTTTCTTTGGTTCTCGATTATAGAGGTGCAATGGCACTTCTATAGAAATCCCCTCATGAATAACGAATATTAGATCCCTGACGTAGCCAGAATTTTTTTTTACTCTCAGTTTAAAAATATGACTGGGGGCTTCCAAGGAGACTCATATGAGCATTGGAAGAGTGCAGGGTTCGGGCAGATTAGCCCAAGTGAAAACCTCGTCTCATTGGCATGTCCTTTTAGGAAGGGTTATTGCACCTGCTCTGCATATAAAAAGTCACTGGTTCAATCCTCAGCATCACCAGGTAGAACTGGGGAAAACTCCTGCCTGAACATGCCTTAGCCCCATTGGTAAAAAAGGTAAAGGACAACTATATAGTTAAAGCTATGGTATAGTTAAAGCTATGGTTTTCCCAGTAGTGATGTATGGAAGTGAGAGCTGGACCATAAAGAAGGCTGATCGCCGAAGAATTGATGCTTTTGAATTACAACAAAGGACAACTGGACGGTTAAGTCCAGTCAAAGGTGACTATGGGGTGCAGATGGGTCTGCCCCACCAGCCCCAGCTAACATGGATGAGGAACATCTGAGAGGGTACACTGGCTACCTCTATAGACAATACTGAGCTATATGGACCAATGTTCTGATAGCATAAGACAGCTTCCTGTGTCCCTATGTTGTATACACATTGAGAAGCACTGCTAAAAATGAACAATACATCTGGGCAAAGAGGTTGCTGTGCTATATGGAAAAGATTTCCTGAATTCTGTGGGTGCTCAAATTCTGCTTTGAACTTTGATTGCCCTTGTCATATCATACACAGTACGTATTTTTGCCCTTTGGCAAGGGGAAAAAAAGAAAGCTGGCTGCAGTTTGTCCACATGACCTCCTGCTACAATGAAATTCCAGCACTCAGTGTGTAGCCGTAGTCTCTTGCATTTCACTATATTGAACAGTTGTTAATTTAATCAAGCACCTTACTGTGGGACAAAGCGAAAGAAACAAACTGATGAGTTTTCACTGTGCCCTCAGTAGGAAAATAGTTGGACCACAACTGGCCATGATTTAATTTAAATCCCACTGCTGGATTCAATCAGTAAGATTACAGAGGGTGTGTAGGTGGATACAAAAAAATTCACTCTGATGTCAGTGTGAAATAATATTCCAAATGCAAGACCATTGCTATTAAAGCCAGATTCACATTGTAGAGCTGCACAAAAAGCAGCAGCTGAAAATTGTTTTTCCTTTTCTCCCTTTCCTTTTTGGTAATAATAATTATTTGTATTAAGTACCCAGCAGTCTGCAAAAGCTACATCACTTAAAGGTCACTGGAAAGGTATTCACTGCTCACAAGAGATATCGGGTAATCTTATGGTATGTTTTGCAAAGTTTCACAAATGAACTCTACTCATCCCTTCCTGCCAATAACCAAAGAGATTATTCAAATACCATATTCTACATATGCATATATGCAAAAATGTGAATGGTATCTATAGGAGGGATAATAGCTCTTCAAAAAACTGGGCTTGCGAGCTTTAGTTGGTAAATTTAATCAATTAACATTCTACTTGAATAATTAGTGGGGGAGCTATTTTAAACACTGAGGGCATATTTAAATTGGTTGGGCAAGAGAAAAGCATACTTGTTTATTTGTTTTGGTTCTTGGGTGTTACTCTAATGGGGTATGAAGAAGAAAATGAGTCTATTTGGAGCTGGCTAAAAGGCAATTAAATTCCATCAGTTTTGGACTAGACTTGGGTCACCCACTGCCAAGAAGATGCTGCTGCTCTGTAAATAACACTTCAGCATGGCCATGCAAGCAGCCATTGCCAACCCAGTCAGCAGCTGGCAGGAGTTGCAATCCAAAACATCTGAAGGGCACTAGCTTGGTGAAGGCTGTCTTAAAGGGATTGGCAAGTCTTTTCAAAGAGCATATGGAACTGCCAGTTTGAGGGCAGGCTCCAACCTCATGATGAAACAACAATAATGTGCAATGATTTTGTTCCTCTTTAAGATGGCAGTCGCTAAGATCTTGTGGTTCTTGAATCCTGACAGAGACTGGAGTTGTATCCACCTACCCCTAAGGAGGCAGGTTGAAGACTCAAGAGGGTCTCTGTGAAAGCACTGGTGCTCTCATACTTGAAAACCAAGGGGCAATGTGTCTTCAAGTATAATTAATAAAGCCAGTATAGTATAATAATTATAATTAGTACCTTCCATGAAAGAACAGTCAACATTTATTGATCCCCCAAAGCTATTTAAGGTCCCTCAGTGACTATAATCAGCAATTTACACTTGCATTTGCTGTATTTATTTACTTGAGCTTAAAAAAGAAACCCAGACTAGTCCATTTTCAGATGTGCTGATAAATGTAAGTAAGGCAACCCATCAATGATAAATATTACAGTTTCATCTAGCTATTGACATAATTAACTAAACAATTCACACTCTGCTCACAAAGCAGTTAGCACTTTGTTATTTAATATTCTAATATTTATGAATGCTGGGAGGCCAAACGACCTGTTAAGTACATATTATCACTCTTAAAATAAGTGACTTTTAAAGGAAACAATGGAAACCAAGGTAGACAATCATGTTACGATCAAGTCTATGGCAGGCAAACCCTGGATCTTAGGAAGAACTGCAGTAGCCAGGAAAGGAATCAATATGGTGATTGACAACTCCTACTACGCAAACCAGTAATTTAACATTGCCAGTGCCAACGTACGAGATGCCAAAACAAAGGAGGCAAATTTTCATATTAACTACAAATGCTGTCCTGATTCATCTATCGCAGCCTCTCCTTGTGCCTTTCCTGTCACAGCATCAAGGACGGCAGACCTACAGAATTTGAGGGCCAACCTACCAGTGACTTGAGAGTTTTAGGTCCAGGATAATTAAGGGAGTACCTAATCCCTTGAGTTCTCACTTGATTGCTGAGGTATTTGGGGGTCCACCTTACTGAGATGTTGTGGGTCCAATTTTGTGCAACTCCCTTCTAGCTGAGGTCAGACACACACCCTCCCTGTTGAATTTCATGTGTCTGCTGAAGACCATTTTTATTCCAGCCGCCTTTTCAATTGAATTCTGATTTTATCATTTTAATTCTTTTTAATTCTATTATATTATACCGAGTCTTCACCACTGAGAAAGGACTGTAAATTAAGTAGTACATAAAATGTAAATTAAGTAGTATATAAATTGTCAAATTTAACACACACACACAATTATCACTGTGCCACCCTACACCTGCCTTCTCAGATGCAAGTCTCATCAAGTTCCAAAGGCCTTACTCCCAGGTAAGTGGGTTTAGGATTAGTCTTGGTCTCTTTCGTTCTCTGAACTATTTCATTACTTTGAATTTAATTTTATATTACATATTTCTTTCCCCTACCCACACCACATATAAATCATTCCTGACCAGCCTGAAAAACCCCTTATGGTATCCCTTCCTGTTGATAAAATGTGCTGCTAACTGCCATTCTTTCTCTCTTGGATTTTCTGCCTGGACAGTTAATCATTTCTGTCAATGGATGGAAGAAAGATGATATCTCTGTCTTCCAATATTTCACACTTCTGGGAGAGACATCTCTTCTTCAGTCTCTTAATCACAAAACTGGAATGCTGACAAGCGCCTGGCATTTGAGACTGTATTTCTGGGAACTCTTACTATGGTATTCATTAACTGATTCCTGTGATGGTGATTATGGCAGTAGAAAAATAACAAACAACAGATAAGGTTATTTGCACTGGGACAGTTGTCTTGCTCTTGTTTGTTTTTCCCCTCTGTTGTCTGATTGGCTCTGATTTTGCAGTTCCTGTGCAGCTTCAGTCTTAACCTTTAGAATCGCTTGGTGTAAACCTAACAGTAGGAATAGGAGAGGATTTGGGAAATATCACGCTGAGATGCAAGGCTTCCTGGATTCCTATCAAACTCCCCTCCTCTCAGGGGAAAGGTCTGCAGCTTAAGGCCAACTCCTAATTATAACAACAGATTTGAAGTCATCCCCAATCACGTCAAGCTCTTTAGCAAAAACTAAAAGTCATTGATGGGATTGTACCATTGCACCCTTCAGCATACTGTTATTAACACATAAGACTACAATTTATATCATGTCAATGTAACATTAAGTTTAAACAACTGGCCCATAAGCATCATAAATTCACATAGGTCCTCATTTAACTTTTATTTCAGAACTCATCTAAATGTTGTTGTTTTTTCTTTCTGATTTGGCTTTCTATGTAGATTGGCCAAGACACAATGAGAACAAATTCTCATTCACAATGAGAACAAATTTCAGAACGAATTCTGAAAAACAGCAGTTTTAACCCATTTCAGAAGAGGCAGCATATCCTATGTAGTTTAAAAAACGAGTTCATTGTTGAGTGAGGTTTCATAGCCAATAATCTTCATCATCGAATGCTTGGTATGGTTTAGGAAGACAGAGATACACACACATACTAGAGTGCAAAAAGCTCAAGTTTGAAAGGTAAGACCTAAGATTTAAAAAAAGTGCAACTCATTGAGATAGGAGGATGCGTCATATATTCCAAGCACATTGTGCACTTCCTGGTGCATTAAATGATCGCTGTGGGTTAAACCACAGAGCCTAGGACTTGCTGATCAGAAGGTTGGCGGTTCGAATCCCCGCAACAGGGTGAGCTCCTGTTGCTCGGTCCCTGCTCCTGCTAACCTAGCAGTTCGAAAGCACACCAGTGCAAGTAGATAAATAGGTACCGCTCCAGCAGGAAGGTAAACGGCGTTTCCATGTGCTGCTCTGGTTCACCAGAAGTGGCTTAGTCATGCTGGCCACATGACCCGGAAGCTGTATGCTGGCTCCCTCAGCCAATAAAGTGAGATGAGCACCGCAACCCCAGAGTCGGCCACGACTGGACCTAATGGTCAGGGGTCCCTTTACCTTTACTTTACTAAACCATAGCTGTTAACATCACCTAGAGCAGGGTTGATTAGGCCACTGGTTCCAACTGGATGCCAACAGGCCTTCTCTGCAGTGGCTCCCCGTCTGTGGAATGCTCTCCCGAGGGATGTTCACCTGGCACCTTCATTATACACCTTTAGGTGCCAGGCAAAAACCGAAGTACCACTGTAGCATATATATACATAACAGTATATATATACATAACAGTGTTTCCAGTATAAGATGAAATAATAATAATTATAATAATTTATTCTTTGTACCCCACCCATCTGGCTGGGTTTCCCCAGCCACTCTGGGTGGCTTCCAACGAAGATTAAAAATACATTAAAATAACTTGTTTGGGTCACCAGGAATCCTCAAAACAAAACCTTGCTTCTCCAAAATATTTGTTGCTGCTCCTACTGAAATTGTTGAAGCAGAGGCAAAAATTGGTGGGTCAAATTCCATGACCTGTGACACACAGCAGGTCAGGCTAGGTAATTATAAATTGTTCCTTCCGGCATTATGTCATTTGGAATCTGGAATAACTAAAAAAAGTGGGGGGGGCCCTCTCTCTCTCTTAATCACACTGATGTCAGCTGGTTCTCCACAAGTCCTGTTGTACAATGCTGAAAAAACAGGCATGAACTAGTTGATAATTTCGGGCTTCTTCCTCTTTCATTCAGCAAACAAAAATAAAATGGCATGTACCTACAAAAAGGTGCTTTACCTTATGGAAAATACAAAGAGCACTGCCTTAAGGAGGAGAAGCCTATTAGTACTGTAGTCTTCTATCAGTCAATTAACATGCATTTATATTATGTTCCCTGTGCACCATTCGGAATGGCTATGTGTAAGCAATACATTTCAGAGTAGAATTGTTCCCCAGCTGTATAGTTACTCTGAAATTCTTTGTGCAGCAACTAAATAGCTGCTGAGTGCCATTGTGCATATTTGCATGGTATCTAGTGCAATAGAAACACTACAATTTTGGGTTGTAAAAAGTAAAATAAAATGAATGAAAGTATTTATTCAATTTTTTCTTTTATTCTGAAGGCTTGACTCCTTTTGTTTGTTTGTTTTAAAAAAATTCCTGGAGGGAAAGACCTAAACTGTTGTCAGGCAACTTAGATATTTAATAACTGAGTAAAACAAACTGGAAGGGTATTATAAGTGAAGCCCGTATGCGGCAATGCAGAGTTATGTCATGACTTCAAAGGAATGAACAGAAATTGAATTTTGAATTACTTCTAAGCTCTTTTGCCATTTTAAGTCCAATACTGATTGCTAGATGAAGGGATTAACTGTCCCTGTTCATATTTTTTTTTTCTTTTTTCATTCTTGCTCTTCCTCTGACAATATTTTACAAAACAGTACACAGAGAATTTCTTGAGGCAGATCTCAGAAAGCATTTCACCCCGTATGAACCCCCTTCAATATTTATTTATTATTTAAAATTGAGAAATAGCCCACGCATATAAAATATCATGGTGGTGCACAGCAATGCATACGAATGCAATTAAACACAAAATACAATAAAAACAATAAAAATGACAAAAATAAACTATGTCTTAGCACAATGATGGGGAACCTGTGGGCTTCCAGATGTTGATGGACATTCCCAACAGACCAAGGCAGCACTGCCAGTGATCAGGGATTATATACATGTTAGTCTGTTAACATCTGGAGGGCCACAGGTTTCCTGCCCCTGCTTTGGCAGATTAACTTGTGGTGTTGATGTTGAAGAGATACTTGTTTATTTAAAGGGTGGTATAAAGATGACCTTCCTTTGAATGGTTGATTTTGTTCCTTCACTTCCTTCACTATCTCAGAAAGATGCCATTCTTGATCTAGATAAATATAAGGGTGAACAATGGTTGAACCAGTCTTTGGCTGCTACAGGTTTGACATTTCCCCTGAAGTTTATGTCATTGTTTTCACATGGAAATTTAATTTGAAAACAGGTTCCTAGAGCCATTGCTATGGAAACAACAAAAAGGCCAATATCTGCTCTCAGTTGATAATTCCCAAAGAATTCCATATAGGCCAGAACAGCTTTGGGGGGGGGGGATGGCGAGGAGCAGAATTTAGTTCTGCAAATTAAAATGAAAGCAATAATTTGCAATGGTTGACATATTTAGCATCAGTGCCAGATTGTAGGCAGTCATGCATGAAGGGAGCTACAATGCAAGTTTTGGCAGGGTTGAGACGAGGTGATTGGAGGAAAGGGGCACTTTCCCATCCCCAAGAAGGTCAATCAGGAGAAAAAGTCATGGGCAGGTCAGAGTCTGAGCCAAGATTGTTCTTCAGAGAGGACTGGAGTCAGGATGCAGCCATACTTGGAGAAGGCTAGGAGGTCACAAGTATGAGACCATGCTGTCTCTTACCCAGCCCCAGGCCTGCCCAGAAGATTTTTGTGGGTTGTCCAGTGTTCTGTCCAGAGGATGGTGAGACTTGTGGGGGACACTTCTGCCCCTTGTTTGCAGCCTCAAAGTGGACAATAACCACAAAGGCATCAACATAGAAATAAGGAGGTTCTCTGTTCAGACAGCTGATCCTTATAGTTAAGTCTTACTATAAGTTCTTACAGTTTGATGATGATAGGAGTTTGAAAAGCAGAATTTATTAATGTTTTAAAGGTGGAAGCCATGTTAAAACTCCATAAAAGAAAATATAGGGTTGTATCCAAGTAACAGTGTAAGGATTTCTGCTTCTGTGACAGAACGTCCCTCTTTTCTGTCCTTGTTGTTGTTTTCGTTTAGTTGTTTTGTCGTGTCCGACTCTTCGTGACCCCATGGACCAGAGCACGCCAGGCACTCCTGTCTTCCACTGCCTCTCGCAGTTTGGTCAAACTCATGCTGGTAGCTTTGAGAACACTGTCCAACCATCTCGTCCTCTGCCGTCCCCTTCTCCTTGTGCCCTCCATCTTTCCCAACATCAGGGTCTTTTCCAGTGAGTCTTCTCTTCTCATGAGGTGGCCAAAGTATTGGAGCCTCAGCTTCACAATCTGTCCTTCCAGTGAGCACTCAGGGCTGATTTCCTTAAGAATGGAGAGGTTTATCTTCTTGCAGTCCATGGGACTCTCAAGAGTCTCCTCCAGCACCATAATTCAATTGTTCGGCGATCAGCCTTCTTTATGGTCCAGCTTTCACTTCCATACATCACTACTGGGAAAACCATAGCTTTAACTATATGGACCTTCTGTCCTTGTGCAGCCCCTAAATCTGTTCTAGGACTTCCCCGATCCTCTGGAGCAAATTTGGGGAGGGGGGAGGGCACACACAGGAGGAGGGTTGCACAAGTTCTGTTGCACAAGTCCACAGCATTTTTAAAAACACATTAATTTGCTCAGCTATGACTACTGAATGTGTTTGGAATATGAAGATCTGACATGCCAAAAATCTGAGGCTATCACCCAAATTGATATTCTGTAACTCAGGGATGTCCAACAGGTCAATCACAATCTACTGGTAGATCCCCGGGAGGTTTTAGTAGATCACGGTTGATCGCTGGGTCCCCTTCCTTAGTGGTGCTAAAATTGATTCCCGCCCCGCCCCCTCGCCCTGCCCTCCATTGTTGCACGATCTGCAGAATGGAAGACGAAGTTTACTGAGTGAGGCTGTTTGTTTCCCCAGCGATTTGTTGGTGAGTGGTTGTTCCTCTCCCCCCCAACCCCCCCTTAAAATCGGGGCTTTCCTCCTCCCTAAAAGAAATCAACAACTTTGACCTGAACCACCCCAAAATGGGGGTAGATCACTGCCAGTTTTTAATTCTGTAAGTAGATCACAGTCTCTTGGGAGTTGGCCACCCCTGTAGTGATCTGGCTTTTAATTGGTTGGTGGCATTTAGGTAAACTGACATAATACAGAAACTTTCCCATAGTTTCTCTTGTGGGAAATTTGAAATTAGGGCCAAGTTCCATTTAGCGGGGTGAATCACCTGTAATTTAAATTAAACAAACAAAATGGTTTTTTAGACTAATGGTGTAATTCTATATACACACTTGGGAGTAATTCTCATTAAACTGAGTGGAACAGACTTTTGAATAGGATTGTACTGTAATATACCAGCACCAAAACAGCTTAAAATATTTGTGATGTCAATTAGTATTTGCCAAGACATCTTGACACTGATGGAGGTGCTGTGTAATTAATAGCAGTATAACATGCAAAAATTCATCAGCGCCTACTGCCTTCATCACTAAGGGCAGGATTCAAGTAATGAGTCACACCAGTAGAAGACCATACAAAGTCTTCCACTTGCGGAATGGGGTTTCCCCCCTCCACTTGTGCACCCCCAAAAATTGGCTTTGAGGGGGATCGGGAGAATGCCTGAAACAGTGGAAGGGGATAGGAAAACGGAAATCTTTCCATCTAGCAAGCTGAAATTATTGTCCTGATGAAGCAGGACATCTGAAGGTAGTCCTGTTCAGGAAAGATTTTAGTGTTTGTTGTTTTTACAATATGACCCAGTCAGATGGGTCCAGCATTATTATTATTATTATTATTATTATTATTATTATTAATAGACACAGTATGTATCCCTTCCAGAATGCAACAGCTAGACTGATGACTGGGAGTGGCTGCCGAGACCACATAACACCAGTTCTGAAAGATCTACATTGGGTCCCAGTACATTTCCGAGCACAATTCAAAGTGTTGATGCCAACCTTTAAAGCCCTGAAGGAGCATCTCCACCCCCATCGTTCAACCCGGACACTGAGGTCCAGCTCCAAGGGCCTTCTGGTGGTTCCCTCACTGCAAGAAGTGAGGTTACAGGGAACCAGGCAGAGGGCCTTCTCGGTAGTGGCGCCCGCCTTGTGGAACGCCCTCCCATGAGATGTCAAAGAAATAAACAAAGAAATAAACAACTATCTGACTTTTAAAAGACATCTGAAGGCAGCCCTGTTTAGGGAAGTTTTTAATGTTTGATGTTGTCACTTTTTAATTAATGTTCTGTTGGGAACCACCCAGAGTGGCTGGGCAAACCCAGCCAGATGGGCAGGGTATAAATTATTATTATTATTATTATTATTATTATTACTACTACTACTACTACTACTTCCAGAAACTGTGCTCCTCCTGAATGGCTGTTTGCGAAGCTACTATTAACAGCAGAACTCAGGAAAAGAGTGACAACTCTAGGCTGCAAGCTCCATTTCAAGATATAGACGGATACATAAATACATACATTTATTTATGTTTCTTGGAGCCAAAAGAATTGCTTGTATGTTTCTCTGCCCTATTAATACCTAATAATAAGGCCTGAGAAGACTTGTGTGTGCATGCATTTAATACGCTTGAAATAATAATGGGTTTATCTGTCTTAGAAATATAATCTGTAGCACAGCAGGGTGATATAGTGTGGTTGATAAATTGATTTGATTAGAAAGTCACCTCAGAACTAAGGTGGATTGTAAAGCAACATTTAATAACATATATACCTCCCCCCAATCGCTCAATCTTACCTGGGATAAAAGCCATTAGGTAATTTGGGTCCGGCATGCAGTAGCATCAGAATTAGGCCATATGTCACAAGGGAAGCATTGTTGAAAAGCCTGGAAAACTGACAACTGTAGGAAATGGCCCTTCCTCCCTGAGTGTCTCTTTGAATGCAAAGAAACCATAGTAACAGCAGGGGAAGTGAAGGGATGGCAGCTACAGAATAAGCTTTCAGTCACCTGACAGCTTTATATCAACGAAGCTATTGTTTTCTACCACACTGTACAAGGCCATGAAGTCCCCCCCCCTTTTATCTCTTACAGTATTTGTTCAGTAGGTCTACAAAAATTATCCTCATTTATAGATGCATTTTAAATCCATGTTGCAGATTGGGGGATATAGATCGGGGTAGGCAACCTAAGGCCCATGGGCCACAAGCGGCCCACGGGGGTCATTTAACCAGCCCCCGAGCCACCCCCGAACCGAGCTGCCCGCTTGGCGAGTCCTCGCAGGCTGCGCTAAACTGGCAAAGCATGGGGCGGGGACTCGCTTCCACAGCGCCGAAAATCGCGTCTGCGCAGACGCAGATGCCAGAAATAGCGCACGTAATCCGGCCCACGGAGGGATCTCCGCTGGAGTGAACTGGCCCAGGCGAGGTAAACCTTGCCGCCCCCTGATATAGATGAGTAAACCAGGATAGAAATTAACACCTTGGGCCTCCTTTCCTGATGTGAACAGGCAAGTAAACAGATTTTCACAAAGTTCTCATGCCTTCAATAGCTACACATTCAATAGCTACAAATCAGAAATTCAAAACGTAGAGCTGCACCTGTTGAATTTTTATTGCATAGTTATTGACAGTGTAAGAACCCTTCAAAAGAAGAAGACGGGTCTTCCCTCCATTACATTTGCAAGGGGTAGTGTTTTATTTGCAACTTCTGAGGCCCAAAATAAACAGTACATCACTAAAAACCATGTCAGGTTTGTTTGGGGGGAAACATAATAGCAGACGTGTGGTGGATGGGTGTGATTTTCATCAGGAACATTTGTGAGGAGGGGAGGCTTAACTCCCCAGCTATGATTCTGATGAAAATTCCCTACCTCAGTACTATTAGCCTTAGAAATCTCCCGCTTGTGCTAATGGGAGCTCTCCACCAACACCAGACTAATACTAGCTACTTTAATTGGACTCACGGATAAGGAGGGAGTGCTTAAAGTTTACCTTCCCACCCAATACCTGTCACTGTTTTAAAAACGCAGCCTCTTACATACTTTGTAATTACCGGTATGCATGTCACATCTACCGTAGGTCTAAAAGTAAGAAGTTAAAAATCCACGCAGCTGGCTTGGCAGAGGAAAGACCTCTGAACTAGGGAGAGAACCAAGAGCGAGATAAGCCATTTCCAGGATATATGTAAAATAATTTGTGTGGTATGTCTAAAATTTTTGTATGTTAAAATTAATAAAAAATATTATAAAAGAGAGAGAGAGAGATAAGCCATTTCCTGATATTGGTCTACTGGAGACCTTGAACCATTTAGGCGCATTACACAATGGCAACCAATCACACCTCCCAGTGGATCCACCTTATATCACTCATACATTTGTTTCATTCCCACTACTTTATGTATTTATTTTGCATACTTTTAGTCTGCATTTCAACTTAAAATGGATTCCCAAAGCGGGTAACAAAAAAATAAAAGCAACAACAAAACAGTAAGAACAATCATCATGCTGCTTCTACGGTACAGTCCTGTAAGAACTATATTAAAACATTGGATCAAAAACCACCAAAAATCCCTTCTTTTGCTCAACAAAGGGTATTGAAATGAATGGGAGTTTTCTGGCAGACTCTTGGAGGAGCATGGAATAGTGCAAGCTTCCATTCATTTCAATATGGCTTGTGCAGAAGCAACTCTCAATGGATTTATTTGAAGTTTGCACTAACGTGTAAATTACAGGATGCTATTCCAAGCTGTGTTCTCTATACCCTGAGTTTAAGAATGTGATGCGGGAAAACTCCCCCAGAGTTCAAAGAGGGTTCATTCATGCTTATGTATAGCGTCAGGCAAAGGGAAATTGTTCATGTGCCTGATCGTTTTACATGGGCAGAAAGGGAAACTATTCATCTGTCTGATTTAACCAAGAACACACAAAGAGAACAGATATGAGAAACAGAAAGCAGTTAAACTGGTGCTTTTATTGCATATGTCAAGAGGAAGAAGGACATTTTACAGAAGGATTTTAATTTTTAACGTGACTTTCATTTAGCTGAATTCCTCATATGGCAGTCCACTTCGTCTTATTTGTAAGCCCCAACAGTTCAGACTTAGCTCATCGGGTGCATGGCTTTGCAGGAAATAAAACTACAGTAACGGAATATATTAAAGTTGACACAGGGTTCAGGAGAAAGAAATGTGGTAGATATTTTCCTGTTGGTTCCTCTTTTTTTATTTGGGTCATCTGACCTCAAAGGTCTCTATAATCTCAAGATTGAGGCCTTGCTTACTATGAACAGAAGCTGAAATTTTGCACCTTAGGGATCTTCCCACTATGGATGGGAATTGGTATGTGATCAGTTTTGCTCCTGGCAAATTAGCTGATCCAGTTCCTTATGAGCAGACCACATTCCCTTGAATACACACACAAATGAAAGCAATTTAAGCTTCCAGGTTGGCCCCAAATGGATGCATCAGAGGGAAGGATCCAGTTCATGAGTATTTAGCAGGACCACTAGTGAAAATCACTGGGTCTCATTAACTTATGATCATATTATCAAGCCCCATAGGTCTGTGATCTAAAGCCCCAATTTCTGTGTCAGCAAGAAAGAGCTTCATGTTGCTTCACAGTAAAGCTGGCCCCAATTAACTAGCAAAGGTGGAAGTGTACCAATTTTGTAATCTTGGACATTTCAAATGCTGTGGTAGTGTGCTGATGATGAATTCTCTTGAGCTGGTTATTTTGCTGAGAGTAATCCAGCCCAGAAGTGGAAAGTTCACCCGAGGTCCCATAATCTCACCCTTTCATAGGGGATTCATAAATCGGCCATGTACTCCATTCTCAAGAACGGCACACTACACATGTATCAAGCAGTGAAGTGTCACAAACCACAATGAATGGCCAGATAAGGCCATGATGGCTCTTCTGAGGGCTCCCTGATTTTTCACAGGCAATTTGTAGTTAAGTATTCCAGGTAAAGTGTCAGCTTTAATTCACAACACCTTTCAAAGCTGTGCTCACAGCAAGTGTTTACCTTGAGGTCATAACTGAGGCCTCTGGCAGAGCAGTGGAATAATCATACTGACATGGCAGCTGCTGAAACCAAACCTGAGCACATGGATAAACAAGGGGATACGATCTAAGCCACCCTCTTGCACGCTATGCAGTGAATAAATGCTATCATGCTGGGAGCTGGTGCACTATCAGAGCTAAGCGTGCCAACCAACAGTGAGCTAAAGATTCAGTTCAGCCAAGTAGCTACTAGATAGCCCAAAGATCCAAATAGGTACGGTAAAGGAAAAGGACCCCTGGACAGTTAAGTCCAATCAAAGACTACTATGGGGTTGAGGCGCTCATCTCACTTTCAGGCCAAGGGAGCCAGCGTTTGTCCACAGACAGATTTCTGGGTTATGTGGCTAGCAGGCCTAAACCTCTTCTGGCGCAACAGAACACCGTGACGGAAACCAGAGTGCACGGAAATGCCGTTTACCTTCCCGCCGCAGCAGTATCTGTTTATCTACTTGCACTGGTTTGCTTTCGAACTGCTAGGTTGGCAGGAGCTAGGACAGAGCAACAGGAGCTCACCCCATCATGGGGATTCAAACTGCCGACCTTCCGATCAGCAAGCCCAAGAGGCTCAGTGGTTTCGACCACAGTGCCACCCGCGTCCCCAAATAGACAAGATGGCAGCACACCTTGGATGTTACAGTATGAGTCTTACTGAAAAGATCAGAGTCTTACTGAAAAGATCAGAAAACAGACAGATCAGGAAAGGAATGCCATTTTTTTCTTTTTCCCAAACTTCCCCCCATGAAACTACCTGCCCGCTAGGTCCATTTCTCTCTGTGGGGATTATTTCTGCTCTTGGATTGCATCTGGGGAGGAAGCAGCTGGGGAGGTGGGGTTGAGAAAAGCACTGCCAGGGGTGGGATTAAGAACCAGAAGAACATCACAAGAGGTTACTGAATCAGACCGGTGGCCCAACTAGACCAGCATCCTGTTCTCACAGTGGCCAACCAGATGCCTATGGGAAGCCTTCAAGCACTTGCGGAAAATACTATATGCCCAAGAAATAGTGTTATATCATGCACGTAATGTGGCATTTTCAGTCATATTCATGCAACACACTGTTGACCTTGAAAGCCCAGCTGTCAAGTCCAACATGGAGAATCCCATGGCTTCTTGTCCAACTCCTGCACACACAGCACAAGACAGATACAGATGGGGCCTAAACGGGAGTACAGTGGTACCTCGGGTTAAGAACTTAATTCGTTCTGGAGGTCCGTTCTTAACCTGAAACTGTTCTTAACCTGAAGCACCACTTTAGCTAATGGGGCCTCCTGCTGCCGCCACAGCTTGATTTCTGTTCTCATCCTGAAGCAGAGTCCTTAACCCGAGGTACTATTTCTGGGTTAGCAGAGTCTGTAACCTGAAGCGTCTGTAACCCGAGGTACCACTGTACTTTCATACACATATAATGAAACTCAAAAGGCCACTTCTTATTGTGGCAATATTGATGGTTGAATAGGGTTCTATCTTAGTTTGATTTCTCTCTGATTCATAGCTTTTTAGTAAATCAGAAACTCTGAGTAACCAGTGCAATAACAGCTTTTTTTTCAGAAGGGAAAGGAGAGAAAGAAATCCTAGCCTATTTGTAAGACTGATGCCCAAAGGAAGTGAACAGCATGAAAGTCACCAAGAAAATTGCCACTAACTAATTGGGCCCAGGGAGAATTAGGGGCCTGACATATTTCACCATATTTCATGGAAAATAACCAAGAAGTGAATGTCGCATTAGATGCTTGTGCATTGATTTAATCATAATTGAACTCAGAATGTTTCCCAGCTTCTCAAGAATGCAAACATATTGTCGTATCATCTCATTTTCTGCTTCCTGTGTCCAGGCACCCTCTGTGTCTATAAGGCAGCCTTCTCCAGTCTGAAGATCTCCAGATGTTGACTGAAATTCCCACCTGCCCCAGACATCATGGTTGCCTTGGATGGGGCTGCTGGGATTTGTCATTCAAAACACCCGAAGAGTTCCAGGTTGCAGAAGGATGGGCTCTGGTTTAGCCTTCACCACATCTAAACGCAAATTTTCTCATAAAAACCCAAAACGATTTCAACCGAGTTAGAGAGCAAACAGACTTTGGCAATACTGATAAACAACGAGCTGGAACATTTTATTTCTTGTTGCAGTGTGACAATAACTCCTTTGTTTCACAGAGAACAGCAAGGATCAGATACATGACTACAATGCTTCTAATCCCCACTGCCCACATATGGAGATTAGAGGTGCTCCAGGAATTTGATCTTTGTGGATTCTGATACAAACTGACCTGAACTGTACTTCTTGCCTAATTAGAGTGGAACTCGGTTATCCACTGGCTTTTGCACTCCCCAATGTTCTGGTGCAGTTTTCTTTTTGCTCAGATCAAATAGGTTGTAAAATGTGAATTCTGAGAGAAAATAAATTTTCGGCAAGAGAGAAAATAAAATGTCAGCAAGATCTGAAATGTTGATGTGTGAGAGCCGAGTTATCTGAGAGTATTTTGACAAGCCACACCAGCCTCCACAGCAGTGCAAGAGTCCAGGCATTCACCCAGGGTTCGTGTTTCCTTTTGGCAGCACTTTTTTCGGGGGGGGGGGGGCACACAGCGGTACGCATACCCCTAAACATTTTGTGAATCTTTGTACTTTTGTCCATTTATTGTATTTATTTCCCCCGATTTGAACTATAAAATAGTGATTTTCTTGAGTCAAAAGGATAGTATCCCTAAACATTTTTTTAAGAAAAAAAGCACTGCCTTTTGGGAATAAGGTAGAGTGGAGACTGTGGTGTCTTTATGATAAATGGTTTATTTACACATGTATACAACCTGAGCCTGCCATGGAGGGGTTCAGAGCATTGTCGCCCATAGGAGTCTTGCTTCTCCCCTGGGCACAGTCCAGGATTCAAACAGAAATCAAACAGTCTCCAAAACATGACTCTGACCCTCTCTCCAGCTTGCTGACTTTGAGAGACTACTACATCACTGCCAAAACTCCATCCTAAACTCTCCTTTTGTCTTTCTAACTAACCTTTGAGGGAGGGGCCCCCTCCTATTTGCTCTCTGCCACAGAACCACTCCCTTTGTCCCAGTTAACAACTCATATTTAGCAGGCCATTACCAGGCTGATGTCTAGCTTGTACTTTAACTTGTTGAATTCAATGTCTGGCACCCTAGATTTAGAAGGGGAGTCCAGAGACCCCACAAACTTACATTACTTCAAATTTAATTAATTATCCTAATGCCTGATTCCCTCTGTTGTTTCTTCTTTGGTTTTAAAGAACTGCTCGCTAGTATTATTTTTTTGGTATGTGAAGGTTCATGTAGATTTTAAAAAAGTGCAATGCACTTTTTTAAAAAAAGTATTCAATGCAGGAACAGAATGAACAGATATATGGATAAATACATGTGAAAGAGACACAAACCATAACCAGAATGATTCACCCATCTCTAATGGAGATAGGCCATAGAAAGACACTTCCCTGGGGTGCCTCTCCTTCAGCCCTTGGCATGCTACTGCTGAAAATGCAGCAGGGCATCCTGCCTATATTTATCCCCCTATTATTAAAGAACCTTTTATTGAGGGTGAAAGAGGAGAGCGCAAAATATGGTCTGAAGCTCAACATCAAAAAACTCAAGATCATGGCCACTAGGCCCATCACCTCCTGGCAAATAGAAGGGGAAGAAATGGAGGCAGTGAGAGATTTTACTTTCTTGGGCTTCATGATCACTGCAGATGGTGACAGCAGCCACGAAATTAAAAGACGCCTGCACCTTGGGAGAAAGGCAATGGCAAACCTAGACAGCATCTTAAAAAGCAGAGACATCACTTTGCCAACAAAGGTCCGTATAGTTAAAGCCATGGTTTTCCCAGTAGTGATGTATGGAAGTGAAAGCTGGACCATAAAGAAGGCTGATTGCCGAAGAATTGATGCTTTTGAATTATGGTGCTGGAGGAGACTCTTGAGAGGCCCATGGACTGCAAGAAGATCAAACTTCTCCATTCTTAAGGAAATCAGCCCTGAGTGCTCACTGGAAGGACAGATCCTGAAGCTGAGGCTCCAATACTTTGGCCACCTCATGAGAAGAGAAGACTCCCTGGAAAAGACCCTGATGTTGGGAAAGATGGAGGGCACAAGGAGAAGGGGATGACAGAGGACGAGATGGTTGGACAGTGTTCTCGAAGCTACCAGCATGAGTTTGACCAAACTGCGAGAGGCAGTGGAAGACAGGGGTGCCTGGCGTGCTCTGGTCCATGGGATCACGAAGAGTCGGACACGACTAAACGACTAAATAACAACATTATCCATCAGCCTTACACTTTTTGAAATCTCTTCTCCGTTGCAGGTTTAAAGCACAATCTGAGAGTGTATCACCCTGCTCAGCCACTTTATTTTTTTTTTATAAAGATGTACCTGTACTGCGAATTATAACTGGTTTATTATGACATCTGTCCAAAGAATGCCGGGACGGATAACAAGGTGGGCTACTGTTAATTATGCAGTTGGAAGTGAGTCTCTCTGCAAGGTGCAGCTGGAAGTCAGCCTCAGCAGCACCCAGAAAAGAAAAAAAAAACTAAAGCAGGAAACATGGGAATAGCACCTCCAAACCAAACCTTAGACCTGCCTTTTCCTTGGTAAAGATCATGGATTTTTAACTGGTGGGTCATGTAGGCCAAGGAGGTAATTTTACCCCCAAACAGCTGCTACAGTGTCACACCGCTGTCCTCCTGACAGCAGTTGGTTACCAAGTGGTGGCAAGGTCAGTGCTGTGCAGATGCATCAGCAGAAACCAATATGGCAATATGGCAGAACCAATACCTGCACAACCCCACCCTCATTGCTGCTCTGTCCCACGCTATCCCAGTAAGCAGCAGCAACACTGCTGTGAGGAAGCAAGAGTGCCATCTGCTCTGGATTTCACCAGCAGTTCTACCAAATTTTGCACAAGATGTGTGCTAAACTTTTGCTGGCTAGTATATTTGTAGGGAAACAGAAACTATTTCCAAAGGAGGTAGAGATATTTTACATGTTACCTTACTTTGGGTTTTACATGTGTGTTCTTTCATTTTCCACATGGACTCAGAATTTTTTCATGGCAGAACTGGACAAATTTATTATACTATCCATGAGGACTTTCAGCAATGTGGCAAAACACACCTCTGGCAGCAAGACAACTACTGTATCTGAAGAACAGCTACTAGAATACTGAAGAAGTCTATTTCTGCTTTAAGAGCAAATCTACTAATGATAAGAATGTGGTCATTGGTGGTTCATTTTAACTGACAGCGCCATACTAGCTTCCCCATAGTTTTTTGAAAACCATTGCAGAAAACAACAAACAGCTGCCCAAGTATCAGTCAGGCTGATTTAGCAACAAGAACTGAAGTAAGTTGATGCTTGGCACCAGAGTCACGTCATTTAAGTGAATGTTCAATTTGAAATAATTATCCTAATACCTTGTTCTCTCTGTTGTGCATTCTTTCGCTTTTAAGAAACAGTCACTAATATTTTTTAAGTGTCTCTAATGAGAAGGAAAGGATTAGTGGTGCACAGAAATGCCCCAATTTGTGTCATGAACACAAATAGAGAAGTTCAAAGGCATTGGCAACAAAAAGAGACAATACAATTTATTCCAGAGGTAAGTTAGGTAATTCGGAGATCAGATTTCTGGGAAATTTTTAATTGGGCTTCCAAGAAAACATTCTATTTAAGGACTAACCAGAAAAGCAGGTAATTGGGACATTAAAAAGGGTATAAAATATTTTAAATGCTGCCAGGACAGATTTGGAAGAGGAAATCAAATGAATAACACCAGCTTTTGTAGCTAATGGCTAGTAATAATCAGGACAGTAAATGAAAAAGCGAGTGAACAGACACATGCACACAACATTTATGATACTATGGCTCAAGCATGACATCTTTAGGATGCTGTTACGTTTGATGTTTGTTTGCTTCCTGATTGGCTGGATCTGGAAATAGCAGGTTTGAGTCTACTATTACTGCTATTCCTATTTACTTCAGAGTTTTGTGCAGCTTGATTCTGTGCTTGTTTACTCAGAAGAGAGTTCCACGAAGTCCAACAGCACATACTCCTAAGTGAATATGCCAAGCACACTTCTGAACAACAGAGTTTTCTTTGGAGTAGATAGGATTTATGCCTGAGAAAACATATTTAGGATGATGCCGTTAGTGTTAGGGTTAATTTTGAGACCAAGATTAATTTGAAATTAATTTCAGTGGCCATCATGGAATAATAAAGCCCTGCCCTCTTCAGCTACTTGCAGTGATTCCCAAGCAGGAAAAAAGAAACCTAATGCTAACCTTAGTCATGTTGAGTATTCCGAGTGAAATATTAATGCTCTTTGTCTCTCATACATGCCAACTCCTGGAGCCAGATGCCTCTTTTCACCAATCCCATCTGTCCATGTGGCACGTTGAATCCCCAAAGAGCTCCCAAGCCCTCCCTGCCAACTCAAGATCAGCTGTTCTTCCCCACACCTCTGAGTGAGCACTGGTTTCCCAAGTCCCAGCAAGATGCTGGTGTTGCTTATATGCCCACAGATCACATGCCTGTAGAATCTAGTCCCCTAGTAAACAGCACACTGCTCAGTGATACTGCTCACAATGCTTCCCACTTCCTTGAGTGGCGAGGTGTTACAGGGACAGTGCTGGTCCAGTTAACTTCCTTTGGTGAGAGGGAACTAGAAACATATAGTGCTTTTGTAATACTTGTTTTATTTACAAGCATACAAGGATACCACAATGAAGAGAGACTCAGCGCTGCTGCAAACTCCTGCTTCAGATCTCTAAGGAGAGAAATTGCACCCCAACAATGCATGACCAGCAGCTCGCTCTGTTTGGAGTCAGGAAGGAGGAAAGCAGACTACTTTTCTTCGTTAGCTGGAGGAACATCCTTCTCTTTAAGCTCTGGTGGGCATTAAATTCCAAAGACTGGAAAGACACCCCCCCAACTATCAAGGAATATTATTACGTTAAAACCCAACAACCCACCAACTAATATTTTAGACAAACTATAAGAAGAGGTCCATTCACAGTAATTACAGTGGTACCTCAGGTTACAGACGCTTCAGGTTACAGACTCTACTAACCCAGAAATAGTACCTCGGGTTAAGAACTTTGCTTCAGGACGAGAACAGAAATCGTGCTCCGGCAGCGCAGCGGCAGCGGGAGGCCCCATTAGCTAAAGTAGTACCTCAGGTTAAGAACAGTTTCAGGTTAAGAACGGACCTCCGGAATGAATTAAGTTCTTAACCTGAGGTACCACTGTACCGTGGATGGCTGAACTGGCAACAACAGATATAACAGAATTCTAATACTGTAAAGCAAGAAAGCTTTTTTCTGTATGGTCTGTATCACACAGGAACATAGGAAGCTGCCATATAGCCATATAATGGTGAGACCATTATCCATCTAGCTTGGTATTGTCAACACTGACTGGCAGAGTTTCCAACATGGGTCTTTTCCATTCCTACCTGTAGATGCTAGCGATTTTACCTGGGATGTTCCATGTTAAAGGAGTTGTTCTACCACTTCTCTACCCCTTTGTAAAGGGATTAAGGCCCAATCATATAACTGCCTCAGCCCATACCAGTCAGTTCTCATTAAAAAAAGCATGCTGATTTTTAGCTGTGCTGTGATACAGATTCTGTGCACAGCAGGTTTTGCATTAATCCATAACGGCCACTTTGGGGTAGTTGGTTTTAAGTACAAAACCCCCATCAGTTTGCTGGTTGGCAGTCACATTACCCTGTTAGCCCATGGCTGTGTACCTAAGAGTCAGCGTGGGCCACCAAAACATGATCCTGAATTCAGGGGTCCTGAATTAAGCCAATACAATAGTACGAAATAAATGGAATAAATGTATTCCTAGATGGAATGTTTTCATGTGTTTGACATGCTAGGTCAGTGAGCCTAACGCCTGCAAGCTGTATGAGGACTGTTCCAAAACCCCAAGCTGATTGTATCGAGCCCAAAACGGTACACTGAAGGCTGGCGGTATATTAACATGTGTGCTGGAATTAGAGATATACCACAGCACCCGATTTGTATGAAGAAGGTCCCTGTTCAATCTCTCCCACTGGGCACCAGGTGACCTCCCTCAGCCTGAGACCCTGAAGAGTTGTTGCCAGTCAGAATGGGCAATTCCAGACTTCATCTGGACAAATTGTCTGATCTGCTACAATGCACCTTCCTATATGAATTAACTTGAAAACATGCTCTCCCCTTGGGCAGCGTCTGCAGTTTCTGGAAGCCAAGAGGGACCCAGTGAGATTTCTTAGTGTACTCATCAAATCTTCAGAATCGGTGTGGATGCTGCTTTTACTTAATGTTCAGAGAATGCCTGCCCTAGTTCCCTCCCATCTTCACCCTCCCCCACACACAATGCTGCATGCTGAAGTCATTGCAAAGCAGAGCTTCCCACTGCCTGATACCAGCAAACACATTGCACTGTTTCAGAGAACTACCCTATTGAAAAAGAATGCCCAAATTCAGCAAATGGGTGGGGGGATGGGGAGAGAAAAGGCCAGATGAGCCCATAGACAGAATAAAAGCCCCACCCCTTCTCCTGCCCTTTTCTGTTGAAATATGCTTAGGAAACCTTGCCCATGTTTTAGCTATTTCTCAGAGCACAACACTGTTGATGACTATATGCAGCAAAGGTCTCTCCTTCTCCCTGTATTTGTGTGTTACAGTTGCTTTTAACAGACTGCTGATTCCCAATAACGTTAAAATCCAGGAAACAATAAAATGCATCGAAAAACACACACAAAATTACATTGCAAGAACATGAATGCACCCTCATAGGGTGATATTTCCATTTATGATACTCTGGAGAGCTTTTTAAGAACTCCTAAGAGCTGGGAGGTTGTTAGCTCCAACAGTTATGGTATCCCATCCTTAAAATACATGAATAAAACGTAAATGTAATAAACAAAATTTTCATCATTGGTTGAGAGACTTATAAGAAGACTGTTCTGTAAGTCAGGCAACAACTGAAAAGCATCTTCTCATTGTTATTTATTAAATTTCTATACCGCCCTTCATCCAAGAATCATAGGGTGGTTTTCAATATAAAAACACAAAAATACATAACATAATAACAAACAAAGCAAACAACCCCCAAAGGCTGTAGATTGTTTAATTAACCAAAGGCCTGGGAGAAGATCTGATAAAGCAACATATAATCACTTGCTTTGAGTAGCATTGTGCAAAGATAATTTACAGGTGTTTTTTTTTGCAAGAAAAAAAATTTGTAATCTCTAACCATATGTAAACTATGTAATGTGAAGAGCTTGAAAACATTTTTTGAATTCCTGTTGCCCCTCTTAAGTGATAGGGGAGAGGGAGAAACGTGGGGAGCTGGATCCAGTGGTCCCATTATACCAGATCGCTACATGTCACAGTAATGTAATCACAGTTCTGCACACCCTCAACAGCAATGTCGACAGCAAAACAATATCACTGTACAGTAAATGAGAGATAATGTAGTAGCATTGACAGGCACTCCCACAGCATCCATAGCAACACAACTGGCACCACTATTCACAGTGTGCCTGCCAAGGACACCCTTACTACCATATCATGCATTCACAGAAGGAACCAATCATGAATGGCAATGGCAGATTAACCCCATGGCATCATCTCACCCCAACACACATGCTGTGCACAATCTGGTGGTCACAGAGGAACCACAGCAGCCACACTAGTTCATAATGTCAGGTCCCCAATACTGGCATATATTCAGGTTCCACCAGCACAAATGCATTTTGGAATAATCCTATCTTTATCCGGGAGGCATATCCTGAGGACAAGATTTCACTCTTAGCAAACAAGTAACTGCAATTATTGGATACACCGCTGTTTAGCTAAAATTCAGATTAGATGGTCCTGAACATTATTTTAACCACCTGTACAAACAATCCCACAAACTGATCAAGAGGATGGAATAGGGAAGGATGGGGTTTCTCCACTCTTTTATTGATAGCCCTGTTGGACTTTGCCACCTAGCGTCAAGAACAGGGAACTTATTTCCTTTTTAGAGAATCAACCTGCTTCATCTGCATAAGCCCACCTCATCTCTACAATTATTTTGGCACTTTGTGGGAGAATTCCCTGCTGTTCTGGCAGCTCCACAGTGGTTGCAGCTGTTGCAGAGGACTCAAGATGGCTATAGTAAAATGCCATGCTGTGATGAGGAGTGTCCCTCTACCCTAAAATATATCAGACCTACAGACCCATACATCTTTCCATAAGAGAGAAACAGGCATGGAATATGTATTGCTATGTGTTTGAATGCATTGCTTTGTTATATCACTTGGTTATTCTTTGAAGCACAGAGGTGAGAAATCCTAAAGTACTATAAATGTCTTGACCTGTTGCCACTTGCTTGGGACTTGAGGGTTATTAATAATAATAATAATAATAATAATAATAACAACTAAATTTGCATACCAGCCCTTATCCAAGGATCACAGGGTGATTCACAATGCAAAAATACAAAATGAAAACACAAAATACATAAAAGAAACAAGATCAAAAACAAAAATAAAACAAACCAATAACCCCCTCCCACAAAAACATTAAAAAGGATATAGAATGTTAATCAGCCCAAGGCCTGGTTAAAGAGAAACAATTTCACCTGGCACCACTGCAGGAAAGGTCCGTTCTCATGTTGCCACTCTCCAGACTTCTTATGGAGGAGGCATATGAAGAAGGATCTCAGCTTATGATTGCAGAGCCTGTTCAAATGTGGAGAGGTGGTCCTTGAGGTATTACAGTCGTGAGCTGTTCAAGGCTATAAAGGCCAAAAACGGAAACTAATTGGCGGACAGTGCTACTGGGCTAGGATTGGTGACATACGCTCAAACCGTCTTGCCCCAATGAACAACCTGGCTGCCAAATTCTGCACAAAGTAAACACACACTCTAGATTCCTCCCAACTAGACAGAGAGTTGGGAGGGAGGGAGATAATTTTCTTCCCCTCCCCAACCCACAAGTCTGCCCTGATGCTGTACCCAGGTGGGCACAGCAGGGTGAGGGCAACTCCACCTTGCTCACTCACCCAGGTCTCAGTAATATAGGCCAGATTAGCCTCCTCATCCATAATTAGATCGTGGGTAATGGAGGTCCTACTCAGAGCCAATCTGGTATTCAGCAACAATAGCCACAGACCCAGGGCCCGGCTGATAGGACAACTGGAATTCCCCAGATTAGAGAAGGGACTGGCGCACGGCACCAACATTAAATGCCTGTGCCATCTGCCCCTTATCCAGCCTGCCCCACCCCCACCACACCTCCTCTTGCCCGGAACCACTGCAAATGGGCACATTCTAAAATTTATAAACAAAGAAAAACCCTACATTTCAAAACACACAAGCAGTTTAAAACAATTTGAAACAATCTTGAGCAGCAGAATTTTTTTTACCTTCTCATAAGACTGGGCAAAATGTAAACGTTACCTAGCAAATCCAGTGTTTCTGTTGTCACCCCACAATGCCTGCTGATAAAAGCTTGAGTATTGGACTCCCACCTCCATGTTGCAATTCTGTGGATGCGGTGGTCTTATCTTGCCAGCAAACCAACTGAATGGTCACTACAGACAGAATACTCGGATTCTCACTTGTGCTAAGACAACTCAAGGAAAACACACAAGTCATTTACATCCATGTTAAACCAGAAGAAAGCCAGAATCTACATGTTTGTGCAGGAATGAGACTCTTAAAAATATAACCTTTGTTCAGACACAAGACATGTTTGAACTAATTAATTTGTATAAACAATTACAGTATCCATTCTGTTTAGCAAATGGAAGATGAAAACTACATAGGTTGCCAGTTTCTGTTATGATCTCTGAATGTTCTTTGTGGCATTCTCACATTCAGTTTTGTATGATCCTTGCTAGGACATTTTATACAATAGTTGATATATTGATTAAAAAAAACATTTTTTAAAAAAACAGGTAAGATGATACTATTTATTGGACCAACTAAAGTACATTACTTGAAAGGAATTTATAGAATTAGCAAAACAAATTGATGCTGTTCTTCATCTTCACTTGGGATTTACTGCCTTTTCCAACTTACCTGTTACATCATCCATTTTTCATTTCCATTGATGCATCATGAGCAAGCGTACCGTAAAATAATTACATGTAAAAAATATGGAGCATTCTTTTTTCTCTATTAGGCTTCGCTCCAGGATTTCACCTGACAGCCATTTGTTCAGCATTAATGAAAAAGTGGCCCTAGGGATGTACAGCTGCACACATAGAGAGAACACATGAAATTTCATTTCAACACCCTTTAAGTTACTGATTTCAAAATGGTCAACGTGCATTTCTCTTACTGACTATGCTAAAACTGTTGCCTGCCTGATGCTTGCTCGGGTGTAATTTGCTTTCTGTTTCAAAGTGAAACTGTTACATACTGTACTTCTTTTTCTTTTCCATCTGTGTTTCGCTTTATGAACCTCTCTGCTTTGTAGCTATTATTTTATCACCTATGGGAAACACACACACATCCAGTATACAATTTATGCTAGATTCATTATGATGAATTAGCAGTTATTATTTTTCCTTTATATGCCAGAAAGTTCCACTGGACTTCTAAAGTGTTTTTTTAAATTCCCCCATTGATATTAACTTTGTGTGTCAGCCTTTCAATTACTAATGCTTTCTTAAAAAGTTTGGAAGCATTCAATGAGTTTAATGAGACCTCCTCTTTCCAACTTCTTGCAGTTTTCATTCTTGCAGTTCCTCTTCTTAATGCCTATGGACACCACTTGATGCAGCTTCTCCAATTAGATTCTGAAAGGAAACCAACAGTAGACTCCTATGAACATTTACACAGATATATGGTAATTCCTACTGAGTTCAGTGGGATTATTTCCTAATTGTGTATTCTTGATCCTCCTTGACCACCCTGTTTTCTCTCAATGTGAACCCTGAACAAAAGCCCCGGTATCCTGTACCTGGTCCAGTCCACTCTGCCATCTTAGTATTTGATCATATCGTTCCTAACTCCTTCTCCAAAATGAGTTGATCACATTTTAGGTGTGACTATAGTACAATACTATGAATGCTGAGTCAGTCAGAGGTAAACCCCAGTAGCACATGTCTTGATGTCAACAGGTTGCTTTTCCACTGAAAGCAATGGAATGGGACCTACAGCATCAGCTACCCATGCATACTAAGATATCAGCAGGGCCCATGTTGCACCATTTACTGCTCCCTGTAACATGGGATCAGCCCATGGATTTGTAATTTCCACATAGTAGCAGCTGTGTGTATAGTGAGGGCTTTAGTTTCATTGCATTTGGTGAGACATGCTCTCTTGATTAGGACTTCAGGCACCATAATTATGTCTAACTCAAGTCCATTGATTTCAGTGGTACATAACTAGGGTTGACTTTTGCTAGAGTGCACCAACAGTGTTTCTGATACAATGTTTTTGAGTCTGTCAATTGATTCTATCTTGTTACATCTTTTGCTTTTGCAAAGCTAGCTGATCTGAAATGTAGTTCTTTACAAACCCTAGAAAGCGTGCAAAAGAGACACCACTGTTATTTTAAAATGTATATAAATCAGAGAGGGACATTTTTATACAGTGGTGCCTCGCAAGACGAAATTAATTCGTTCCGCGAGTTTTGTCGTCTTGCGATTTTTTTCGTCTTGCGAAGCACTGTGTCGGGAAAGTTTTGGAAAAGCTTCAAAAATCACCAAAGTCTTTAAAAACCTCAAAAAAGGCTACCACACCGCGTTCTATGAGTTGCTCCTCGAAGTCAAGTCGCAACTGTATTAACGGTGTTAAGAAAAAGGAAACAAACTTGCAAGACGTTTCTGTCTTGCGAAGCAAGCCCATAGGGAAAATCGTCTTGCGAAGCAGCTCAAAAAACAAAAAACCCTTTCGTCTAGCGAGTTTTTTGTCTTGCGAGGCATTCGTCTTGCGAGGTACCACTGTACTGCCGGAGGTTTGGGTGTGTTCCAGAGAGACAGCAAAAAATAAAAAACCAAAAGGACTTTGGAATTCAAAGTCCCTCTGATTATCATCAAAAAATTTACTCTGATTACCATCAAAAAAAATTCCCAGCTGCAGACTCCACCTTGCTTCATGCCATGCCCCAAATAAAACCTCTCCTTATCATTTCTTCCAACATTCCTTCCAACCAGGCCAGTTCTATTTCAAAGTTGATAGCTAGTTCCTGTAGGGAAGCCTGGCTAGTTTGCAATCCAAGACAGTTAAGAGTTATATGCCTGATTTAGCATGTTTTTACTTGAAGAGGAGAACTTGCGAGCAAGTTCTATACATACCCTTGCACTGTATCACACATTGAAGAATCTCTTATGTCTCCCCCCACCCTTTCCCCCCCAACATGTTTAACCCCTGTCCTTTCATATATTCTATTACTGATTTTTATTCTGATAGCACACTTTAGTTTCTGAAGCATTGCCAGCCAATGTGAAGAGATGGCACTGACCACATTCACACCATACACTGAAAGATTTTTCTCACTCTTGTCCCTTCTGTTTGCTTCAGTAACCTGCATAGTGATGTCTAGGCCAAACCCCCACATCTCATCTAGAGCTTTGTTGTTGCCTGACACCCTGATCTCCAAGTTGTATGAGATTCCAGGGGTTAGAGGCGCCTACCCAAAGTTCGTGGAAGACAGGAGTGCCTGGCGTGCTCTGGTCCATGGGGTTACGAAGAGTCGGACACGACTAAACAACTAAACAACAACAACAACCCAAAGTTCAATTTCCTTGGAATGATGGAGGGACAGTGGAGATTGTGGTGTTCTAGAGTCATAGAACTGTAGAGTTGGAAGGGATAAGATACAAAATTTGTTTTCAGTGGTGCTGCCACTGGTGGGTGCCTAGTTGGCACTGAATTGCGATAAGGCCTAATCAGCAGCCGTTCCCTGCTTGTGGAAAACTTTGATTGGTGTGGTTGGTTCATATGTCTCCCTCACTACAGACTTCCATGAGAAATTTTAAAACATTCCTGTTTACCTAAGCATTTGATGTTTTTTGTTGCATCAAGAGGAAGCGTGAGATTATAAATTAATTAATTAATTAATTAATTAAATAGATAATAACGAAGCTTAAATAAAACAATTTGGCTCAAAGTAGAACAATCCAAAAGGAATGTCAGTAACCAGATAATGTTAAAAGAATGGTGCCATTTCTTCAGCAAATGTGGCTGAATAGCATAATAACTGATAGAACATAATAACATAGAACATAAATTTAACCGGAAAATCAACCGTGCAAGGTCTAAAGGGGGAAAAACACACACACTACAACTGATACAGAAAGAAAGCTAAGGAGCTGGGAAAGATGAGCAGCAACTTAGGTCAAGAAATATACAAAATCAGATTAAATGTTTCTGTTTCCAAGAACCAATTTCTTTTGGCTTTTCATCTTGTGCATTGCACGCACACAATTGTTTTGGTATACTTTCTACTCAAAGGATACTTTATCACTGTTTTATTACATTTTTATTATCCTATCCCTTCTGGCTTAAGGCAGCATGTGTGACTCCCCTCCATCCCTTTTAGTTCTCAAAACAACTCAGTAACGTAGGTCAGGCTGAGAGATCACTATCTCAGCCCCACAGTCAGGGCTGATCCAAGTCAAGGACAAGATGACGGCCCCCTTCTATTCCGTATAGAGAACCCAAATGGGCTGGCACTTGAATCTTACTTCAAAAATGACAATGGGACACCATCCTCTTCTGCACCAGAAGACAAGAGGCTAGGTTAGGGGGCACAAGGCACGCCTTTGTACTCCAAACCTTACTACCACTCACTAATTGGCTGCCGCAGTGGTGTGCAGGGCCAGCACACACATGAGGTGGACTGAAACAGCTGCCTTGGGTGGCAGAAACCCAGTGGCGTAGCGTGGGGGGTGCAGGGGGGGCCGGCCGCACCAGGCGCAACATCTGGGGCGCGCGCGCTCGCACTCGCAGCTCTCTGCCCCTACCTGGCTCGCTCACTCTCTCTCACTGCAGTGCTGGCTGTGCGAATCCGATCCGAGCCGCTGGGTCCCCGCCCACTGTCGAGGGTGTTGGTGCCAGGCGTGCGGTGCGGAGAGAGAGTGAGTGACTATCTGGGGGAGGGACAGTGCAGCGGCCGCCCAGCGCAGCGCTGAGCGCGGGAGAGAACCACACCAGACCAGACCAGGCAGCAGCAAGAAGAAGCTGGCAGCGGTGGCAGGTTAGGGGTTAGGGGGCGCAAATTACTTGCCTTGCCCCGGGTTAGGGGGCGCAAATTACTTGCCTTGCCCCAGGTTAGGGGGCGCAAATTACTTGCCTTGCCCCGGGTGCTGACAACCCACGCTACGCCGCTGCAGAAACCCATGGGGTGGCGTCCCTATCCCTGCCACTGCCGTGTGACCCTGATAAGCAAGGCAGGGGTGGTACCTTCCCTAATCACCTCAGGTGGTGGAATGGGATGGGCTGACCTTGGTGGCGTGCATCACATGAGCAGAGCAATGCATGCTGGGAAACAAGACCTCTGACCACATGACATAAGCTGTGTATGAGCATGGAAATGTCAGAAAGCTGAATCTCCTTGTATTCATTTATCACCAATGTTATCGCACACCTTCCTGCTAGCAACCCCACTTAGGGTTTTTCCCCAGCTGAAACTTGCTGAGACTCAGTTCCGGCACCTCTCAAATGGGCACCATTGCCTTTCTAAGAGACTGAGGGAGGTGTTGATAGTGAATTCCAGCAACCCCTTTTTCTAGAAAAATAGCACTGATCCTACTGAAGATAACACCATCTCCCCAACATGAGAAGTGAATTCTCACAAGTTCAAATGTAGAAGTACAAAGCCCAGGGGTTTGTTCAAAATTGCATTCTATCTCTCAAGACACAAAATGATATGGAAGCAGACTGTCAAGATGAGATTAGGCAAGGCCAGCATGCTATTGAAAATCTACAAGCCATCTGTCTTGGCTACTGTATGCCAAAAAGGAACACTTCACAGAACTTGCCCAGTTTGCAATTCTGCACAACACCTTGACTTTCACCAGATGCACACAGTAGCACAGCTGTGACATACTGCTAGAAAGAAGAATGGGCAATTCTAAATGAGATCAGGACATGATGTTGACTTTACTATGCCCAGGGGAGAAGGCTGAACCTCCCCACAGTATGGCATTTTAAACTGATATCATTAATTTCATTTGGATCTCATTCCCAAATGTGAAATCAGTCAGTTTCTTTCTCCATCTAGCATCCCAAGCAATCCAGGCAATTTATTCATCAGCCTATTGTAATGATAGGACATGCTTTTGTCATTATCAATTTGTTTTGTCATCATGATTTCTCTCAAGGCCAAAAGGAGATATGAACATGGGAGACTTGGCCTATCCACACTAAGCTTTTTTTCAAGTGGTATTATCACTTATTCCCTTCTCACAATGCACATGGCGCTCACCTCCTCTTGTGTTGATACTGCTACTTCTGACTATTTATTATCGGATTTCTCAGATTAGTTTTATGCTGAGTGTTTGAGTTTGCTGCTACTCATCTCATGCGCATCAGCTGCACAGTGTCAAAACTGGCATTGATGGGAATGGCTTCATTCCCACACAACTGATTTGGCACTCTTTTCCTAACTTTCCTCCCCTACTTCATCTTTAGCCTTACAGTGGATCTTTGAGAAGGAAGTTTTATCCTCTATTTTATTCCCAGAGACCAAACAGTCACATTAATGATAGCCATATCCTTAGTGGGGGATAATACTACTTCACAATGTGCATCTGCACAGCACTAATAGTTTTCAATAATGTTGCTATTTGTGTGGCTTCCTTGAAAGATGCAGGATGCAGGGAAGAGAAGTGACAGCATAATAAACAGTGGGAGATAGAGAATGAGTGATGGGAGGCGATATGTGGAATGATGCTTGTGAAGGTGACACCAAAAGCCTTTGATAGCCGGCTGCCTCTGCCTTTACTACCTGTACACACATACTCCCCCTCCCCAACAACTAGTGACAAATTCAGTTCTGTTATGGACACCCAGTTCTATGAGTTCACATTGTGTACCTTGGTTAGGGACAGCGCCACGAAAAAGAAAAATGCATTACCATAAATCTCAAACCCCAAAAATAAAACTTACTTTCGATGGTCAGCTAAAGCTTATTAACTGACTAACCTGCCCATTAAATTACACCGATTAAAGCTTATTTTTTTTTATTAAAAATAATAATAAAGGTTCACATTTACAAAATAGCAGACAGCAAGAGTAGCTGTTTCCCTACTCTTTATTTTGAAAAGGTTACATGAGTGCACTAGTGCCTAAGAATCACTTAACCTCTCAATTTTTTGTTTAATGGCACAGTCAGGTTGTCCCTCGCTAATGCCCCCTACACTAACCCATGATGTTCACACAAACACATTAAACAAAGGCAGCACATCTGGAAGCTGAGGAAGAGTGGCATTTTCTAGCAACAACATATTGCTGGAGAAATGTGGTGTGCCTGCAACTGACGCTCCACTTACAAGGAAGGGTCACTGATGAAAAACAGCTGTATATTTATTGAATAATAACTTGATCACCTACTGTGATACTACAGATATATGGAAAATATTTTTTTCATTTCTTTATTACTCAGCATTTGCCAAGGCTTCAGCTTTATAATCATGCTATTTGGATGCTCTCCAAGAATAGGTTTTCTAGCCTGTGCCTTATAAACCAGGTAAATAAAAATGTTCAGATAAAAAATTAGCATTGTTAACTTCAAGCTTCAAAATACCTATAGGAAAAAATGTACTAGTTACTAAATAGCTTAACATTGGGAAGAAGAAAAAATAGAGCCTTCAGAAAAACTCCACATTGTCTGAGAGAGGAAGTGGAGCTTTTTGCATGTAAAGTGGATTAAAGCTCCCTTTAAAAAAGTAACTTTTAAAGTTTGGGAAACAATGAGGAAATGCACTGGGATTAGTGTATAACGGGAAAATGCGCAAACACCCCACAAGCAAAACAGGATGACTGCTCACTGTCATATAATTGCCATGTAAACAAATCAGACCACATCCTCGATAAAGACCAGACATAGTCTAACCAGTGCTTTTTTTCTGGGGGTATGAATACCCCTAAACATTTTGTGAATCTAAGTTTGGCCTCATTGAGAGGCAGTATTTAAAAACAAGTAGGAAAATGTGAGTGTGCCCCTAAACATTTTTTTTAGACAAAAAGTGCTGGTCTAACCACTGCATAAACTTTGTGCAAGCAAATCAGGGTGAATGTTTAATAAGCAGGTCCTGTGGATGGGATCCTTAACCAGTTTCTTTTAGCCAGAAAAACAAGTGAAGATCTAGGGAAATAAATGGAAACTATGTTTTCTAAAGACCCTCTCAAACTGCCATAGAGCTCAAGAAAAGGCACTTATCACCTTGGATAAGATTCAAAATGAAGGGGAAAGAAATTTGCCTAGGAAAACAAAAATATAATTCAAGGAAATAAATGTATCAAACACTTCTGAACTTGGAATGGAACACAGCAGAGTTTGACGCAGTTAGGTAATAGACCTAAGCAGTGAATGTTCCAGGTGTGCTATTATTACACCATTGGGATCACTGAAAGAGAAGCAAGGCTACATTTTGTGACTTCTTTCAACTTACTTAGTGCCGGGTGGAAAGAAATAGATGATGCGATAGGAAGTATGTTGGAATCACAAGTTTCAGGAGCAGGGGCATAGGAGACCTGGTAACTGCGTAAGAAAGCATACTTTCATTAAGTTTGAGAGGCAGCAGTAGAGGATATACCGGTACTTTACATGCACAAGGTCCCTAGTTTAAAATCCAGCCTCTCTAATTAAATGAAATCTCAGTTAGCAGGGCTGAGAAACATATTTCCTGAAACCCTAAGCCCACTTACCTGTGAGTAACTCCCACAAGCCAATAGACTTACTCAGCACTAGACGAGCCCTAATGGCTGCTTAACTGTGCCTTGCGAGTGGCAGGGGCTGGCGGCGGCAGCAGAGGGACGATGAGGGGCGTGAAAGGGCTGGCTCCGGAGAGGGGCTGCTCAACAAAGCCCAGCCCCCTTCCTCCTCTAGGCAGGGCAGGGAGAAGCCAAGAGGAGGAAGGGAGGAGGCACCACCACGGTGTGGGGGGGGCGGGAAATGGAGCAGCCCAAACGATTAGAATTCCCATGCCGATCCATGCGGCAATTCCCAGACTGTCTGCAGGTCGGATCCAGAGCCAACTGGGCCAGATCCGGCCCCTGGGCCTTAGTTTGCTGACCCATGCACTAAACCAAAGCTTATAGAAAACAGGCATTCAAAACAAGCCTGAAACTGACCTGCTATAAGTTTTCATTCTGAAGACAAGGTATAACTGACAGCAGCTAAAAAGCCCAACTGCAATATTGGTTATGGTTACTAATTAGCTGTCCAACATTTGCAGATGTTCAGATTAATTCAAATAATGTCTCTCCTTGAAACCTAATGACACCTCATTTGTTGTAAGCACAATCCTCACATTCAGATTAGGCTCCATCTTCAATAGCTAGAGCCCTCCACTCAAAGCCTCTTCAGTGGACTTAAAATTAAAATATAAATGAGATTTGCCAAATCAAGAAAAAATATAAAAGAAATGTCTTCTTTCAGTTTAAGGCAGCTAACATGAAAACTATCATATTAGCAGTTACTGGGGCCAACTTACCATGTGCTTTGTATAGCTAAAAAATGAGTAACTGGTATTTCAAATGCTACCAGGGTAGGGTGGGGAAAGGGGCAATGGGAACTAAGGAGCCAACTGCTGTATTCTTGGGGCCACTCTTTTCTCCCATCAGTGGTCTAAAAGCTCTAAATGTATTTTGCTGCACAAACTGAATGGTCAAGTTTCATAATAAAGGTAACACCATCTACAGTAGTTTTAAGGCCTTTACAGTCATGGAACTCAGGCATATTATTATATACAAATCCCAAAGAGAAATGCAATAATAAATGTGGGATAAAGCTAACCATCTAAAAACTTTCCTTTTCCCCTATATGAAATGATGAAAAAACTATTCACTATATGTTGATTAAAATTTGGTGCAGCACCAAAATTCCAATAGAACTGTTTCGGGGCTGGGTTTGGCCCCTGGGCCAACAATTGGCCATCCCTGACATAAGATACTGCTATCTATTCTCCCAAAGAGTTATGCTAATGTATCCATTATCACTATGAACAACTGATTACAGTGGAAATAGTTTGAATTTTCATTTATTGCCTTCACACAATTCCTTCTGCCCAGCCTGTTTGTTTAGGTTTAGACTAAGCATGGAAGCCAGTAGATACTGGAGGATTGACAGCATTCTAAAAGCTAAACAGATGCTCTAGGGTAAAATTTGGCTCAGAATGGGAAACGTACATATGTAAGGGAAAGAAAAAATAGACCTTCCAGAAGGGTATCCCCAAAAGCCACAATAAAAAAGATACTCTCCCTTCCTTCCCATAAAATAAAGCAATAGATGACGTTTACAATGTTGATAAGAACATGCAGTCTGTCAAGGTTGAAATTTAGCCAGCAACTTGCACCCTGTTACCCTAATGTGGATTAGCTGATGTCCTGTGTAAAGGTCAACAGAACCTAACCCTGAGTTACACAACAGTGTGTCGTGGCAAAGACATTACTTCTTAATAACTATCTTTGTGTTAGGTTTTTATGCTACAGCTGTGTATTCCTATCAACCCAATCTTTTGCTTTATAAAGAATCAAAGGGCACGTTACATGAGGCACCATGGCGGCGGCGGGGGGGGGGGGGAGAGTATCCATAAACATTCTACGTGGAAAATGGCTACCAGCCAAAATTCAGATCTTGCCAGACATTAGGTCTAATCACTGTAATGTGTTTAGGATTGAGGGGAGGGGGCATGAATGGCAGGGGCGAGTGTAGCCAAATAATTTACTTAATAAGACAGAGGGTATTTCACGCCAAGGGGTGTGTGTGGAGGGGGTATTATTGCAAATGAATCACTGGTAATAGGTTTTTCTTTTTAATTACTAGATTTTTTTGAGGAAACAGTAAATCCAAGTTTGGGGTGGGTGGTGGAAATACAGGCTGGCATTTTGATACCACAATGTTGTGTGGACACTGAGGAAAAATGCATGCACGAGCAGAATGACTCCTACAACAAATAGCCATCTGGAAGCACCCACGTTTCTTTTGCACTTTTTAAAATAAATAGGCAAAGTGAATACAAACTGTATCAGCTATATTTCTGATATAGATTAATTTTGTCTTATTCTGAGCTTTGCATGGAAACCAAGCCATATGAGGAGTGGTTGAAGGAGCTGAGTACAGTGGTGCCTCGCAAGATGAAATTAATTCGTTCCGCGCGTTTTGTCGTCTTGCGATTCTTTTCGTCTTGCGAAGCACGGTGTCGGGAAAGTTTTGGAAAAGCTTCAAAAATCACCAAAGTCTTTAAAAACCTCAAAAAAGGCTACCACACCGCGTTCTATGAGTTGTTCCTCGAAGTCAAGTCGCAACTGTATTAACGGTGTTAAGAAAAAGGAACCAACCTTGCAAGACGTTTCCGTCTTGCGAAGCAAGCCCATAGCGAAAATCGTCTTGCGAAGCAGCTCAAAAAACAAAAAACCCTTTCGTCTAGCGAGTTTTTTGTCTTGCGAGGCATTCGTCTTGCGAGGTACCACTGTATGTTTAGCCTGGAAAAGGGGAGACTGAGAGGAGATATGATAGCCATCTTCAAATATCTCAAGGGCTGTCACATGAAAGATGGAGCAATCTTGTTTTTTTCCAGCTCTGGAGGCTAGGACCTGAACCAATGGCTTCAAGTTACAAGAAAGGAGGTTCTGACTAAAAATCAAGAAGAACTTTTTGACAGTAAGAGCCATTTGCGAGTGGAACGGTCTTCCTTGGGAGGTGGTGGACTCTCCATCCTTGGAAGTTTTTAAGCAAAGGTTGAGTGGTCATCTGTCATGGATGCTTTATCTGAGATTCCTGCACTGCAGGACTAGATGACCTTTGGGGTCCCTTCCAACTCTACAATTCCATGATTCTGTGAGGGAGGGACACCCTCCCATTTCCCCTTAATGACCCATACTTAAGTCATTTTGAGCTTGGCCTGGCCTGGCTATTCCAGCAACTGAATCCATGCTGGGTCCAGGAATTAGCAGAAACTTGCATAGAGCCTACTTTCTCCTTGCCAAACTCATAATAATAGGAATAGTATTTGTAGTAATAATACCATCCAATGTTTATAAATCACATTAGAGTGTTCAGAGTGCTTCATGCACATTATCTAAGCAACTCTTACACCAACCCTGTAAGGTAGGTCAGTATTATCATCCCAATATTGGGGTAGAGAATCTGAGATGGAGCAGCAACAATAGCCTCAAGCTACCCAGAGTTCAGAGCTGAAATCACATCTGAAACTGCTATTTCCCAGCTTACACGCTTATTACCCATGTGATACAATTGTTCTTTGCATGTTTGATGAACACATGTGGCAATAGGCCATATGTTTCTATGTGTGGGGGTTTTATTTTATTTTTAACTCAGGTCAGGAGTTTTACATTGAGGTACTGCCTCCTGTTTGAAATGACACAGTAAAGTGTTATGGGTTTGTCATCTCATTATCTGTTTGTGAGAAACAGGACTGAATCTGCTCAGTCACTTGTGTACAGAGAGCACTAACCATAGTAATCTCTACAGATGCCACAAAAGGTAAGGTCCCAGAGCCAAACCTTACCCTATCTCGGCTGAGATAGCAAGGAAAGTAGGGATGGGAGCACTTGAAGCAGGGAGGAAGCAAAGGGGATGGCCAATTCCTTCTAGATCAGGGCTCAGCAACCTAAGGCCCATGGGCCAGACGCGGCCTGTGGAGGTCGTTTGACCGGGCCATGAGCAGCCCCCAAACCAAGCTGCCCGCTCGCGCGCTGCACTAAACCAGCGCAGTGCGGCACGGGGACTTGCTTCTGCGGTGCCAAAGTCACAGAGGGATCGCCCCAGGACTAATCCGCCCAGGCAAGATAAATCTTGCCAACCCCTGTTCTAGGTCCACCGATTCTTCTCTGCAATTGCCCCACTGAGGCCATTTCCCCCAGCGTGGAAGCATTTGCTGGAGCATCAGCTGATGTAAGCAACTTACCCCACCCACCCACATTAGCATTACAAGTAATCTTCTTCTGTTTCCCTCATAATATCTAGTTTAGCACTCACACACAAAAGTTTCATGATAATTCCTGAGTGCCTTTCAGAAGCAGCAGTATGGTGCCACCCTCAGGATGGTCAGAGATACGGAGTAAGCTTTCTCTTTAAAAATAGCCTGTTCCCAAGGAATACGAGTAAATATGGGGTGTGCTGGAGGTATGTAACTAAACTGTATCACTGGCAAAAACATTCACAAACTATCTCCCTGCTCCCAGTGAACACAGTTCTATTCAGTAATGCATTTGTTCCAAGCTCCAGTGCTGTTACATCTTTTTAGACTCTGGACTGGGGAAAGTCTTTTTTAGATGGTAAGCTGTGGTAATACTTGCTTCAAAACAGGTAAGTCAGTCCTGCTGCATTTGGGGTCCCTCCTGCTCATTCTGCAGGCCCTGGAAATCTGGGTCAACAGTTCTTCCCTGACAGCACCACTGACAGGCCTAACTTTTGCTGCATCCACCTCTTTACAACTTATAGCAGAGCAGGCCTCAAATGCTGATCTTAAGGCTTTGGTAGGCATATTTGGGTATAGGTGGTCCTTCACATAGCTGGTCCCAAAGATTTTTCGGCGATAAAAGCTAAAACTGGCATGAAAGTACAGTATATCTGACACTAAGAAAAAGTGAAACAAAAGAAGTGCCATGGTAAGATCACTTCCTGGTGCAACTGGACTTCTCCGCGACCCTTCCTCTCTGCAGGGAGGTGGGACCAATTCGGATGGTCCGCCCCCGCCACTTAATGGATCCAAATGGTTTCCAGAGAGTGGTAGGGGATGCTTTATCCCATGATGATGGCCTTTCAGCTGATTCCCTGGTGGCCCGAAGCTCCCTCTCTGATTGCATGGAGCCCGGACAGCCCCGTGGTTTTCTTCGGAGCTGAGGGCAATGAAACAATCGCTGAGACGGCTAGAGCGTCGGTGGCAGAAAACTCACTCCGAATCTGACTGGACACAGGTTAGAGCTCAACGTCGAGCCTACCAAGTGGCGATAGCGACGGCGAAGAAGACTTTCTTCACCGCCTCTATTGCATCTGCAGAAAATAGTAGCAGGAGACTCTTTCAGGTGGTTCACAATTTAACGGAACCACGTTTACCACCGGGGCCTTGTAAAGACCCCAAGATCTCCTGCAACGATTTTGCAAAGTTTTTTGAAGATAAAATCACTCATATTCGGAAGGAGCTAGACACCACCGTGGGAGCAGGGCTGGGGCGGGAGAGTGCTAGAGCTCTGTCTGGTCAAGTTGCATAGAATCAATTTCAATCCGTTACCCCCGAGGATGTGGACAGGCTGCTTGGATGCGTGAAACCAACCACCTGTCTCCTTGATCCTTGCCCATCCTGGCTAATAAAAGCAAGCCGGGAAGGGCTGGGCGATGGGCTCTGCGGGGTGGTGAATGCTTCCCTCTGTGAGGGAACATTCCCAGATCCGCTGAAAGAGGCGGTCATTAAACCGCTTCTTAAAAACCATCTTTAGACCCGGCCAGTATGGCCAACTATCGCCCAGTCTCAAATCTTCCATTCTTGGGCAAGGTGATTGAGCGTGTGGTTGCCGAACAACTCCAGGCACGCCTGGAGGATGCGGACCATTTGGATCCCTTCCAATCGGAATTCAGGCCTCAACATGGGACTGAAACTGCCTTGGTCGCGCTGGTTGATGATCTCCGGCGAGCTAGGGACAAAGGTGAGAGTTGTTTCCTAGTTCTGCTGGATCTCTCAGCGGCCTTTGATACAATCGACTAAAACATCCTTCTGGACCATCTAGAGGGTCTTGGAGCTGGGGGCACTGTTATACAGTGGTTTCGCTCCTTCCTCCTGGGCCGTGTTCAGAAAGTGGTGGTGGGGATGAGTATTCAGACCCCTGGGCCCTCACTTGTGGGGTGCCTCAGGGTTCCGTCCTCTCCCCCATGCTTTTTTTAACATCTATATGAAGCCGCTGGGAGAGATCATCAGAGGGTTTGGACTGGGTGTCCATCAATATGCAGATGATACCCAGCTCTACCTCTCTTTCAAATCAGAACCAGTGAAGGCGGTGAAGGTCCTGTGTGAGTGCCTGGAGGCGGTTGGAGGATGGATGGCGGCTACTGGATTGAAGTTGAATCCTGACAAGACAGAAGTACTGTTTTTGGGGGACGGGGGGCAGGCTGGTGTGGAGGACTCCCTGGTCCTGAATAGGGTAACTGTGCCCCTGAAGGACCAGGTGCGCAGCCTGGGAGTCATTTTGGACTCACAGCTGTCCATGGAGGCACAGGTCAATTCTGTATCCAGGGCAGCTGTCTACCAACTCCACCTGGTACGCAGGCTGAGACCCTACCTGCCCGCGGACTGTCTCGCCAGAGTGGTGCATGCTCTAGTTATCTCCCGCTTGGACTACTGAAATGCACTCTACGTGGGGCTACCTTTGAAGGTGACTCGGAAACTACAACTAATCCAGAACGCAGCAGCTAGACTGGTGACTGGGGGCGGCCGCCGAGACCACATAACACCGGTCTTGAAAGACCTACATTGGCTCCCAGTACGTTTCCGAGCACAATTCAAAGTGCTGGTGTTGACCTTTAAAGCCCTAAACGGCCTCGGCCCAGTATACCTGAAGGAGCGTCTCCACCCCCATCGTTCTGCCCGGACACTGAGGTCCAGCGCCGAGGGCCTTCTGGCGGTTCCCTCATTGCGAGAAGCAAAGCTACAGGGAACCAGGCAGAGGGCCTTCTCGGTAGTGGCACCTGCCCTGTGGAATGCCCTCCCATCAGATGTCAAAGCGATAAATAACTACCTGACATTCAGAAGACATCTTAAGGCAGTCCTGTTCAGGGAAGTTTTTAATCTGTGATATTTTAGTGTATTTTTGGTTTCTATGGAAGCCGCCCAGAGTGGCTGGGGAAACCCAGCCAGATGGGCGGGGTACAATAATAATAATAATAATAATGAAACAATTATTATTATTATTATATAGGAATAAAAAGTAGCAACAGTGTTGGCAAGAAGTTACAATGACCATTACAGTGTTAGCTGGAGGCAGGACTTATCCACGCTTCCTCTTCCCACTGCATTCCCCTGAGGAAAGCCACATTTTAGCACTCAGCAGGAACAAATGGCAATTCAGGTTTTTCCTGGATTGGCATTTGCTCTGATGTATTGCTATTTGCTAAAGAGAGGTTTTTACCTTGTAAAGGAGTGGGGCAAGGGGGAAACTTATCAGATCCATGCCTAAAAAGCATAGGTCAAGCAGAAAACCTCTGGGACACAAGCAGAAGTGTGAATGAGCCCTCAGTAACAAGGAAGCTGGTGTGCAGGCAAAATCAGGAAACAAAGCAGTGAACAGAGCAAGAATGAGTGGTTTCAGACTGGATTTGGAGGCCAGAGCTTTGGTCTGATCCAGCAGGGCTTTTTTATGCTCTTCATGACACCTTTAAATAATACTGATCTGTCTAGTTTACTTCTCAGAAAATATCCATCCAGCCCAACGTTCTGTCCCCAGTAACCTATTGCAATATGTGAGTGCAATATCACTCTCCTGTATACATTCCCCAAAAACTGGTATTCTGAGACATACTACCTCTGATACTGGAAGGAACATATAGACTTCAGTGGTACACACTACTGATGGCCTCATTCTCCATTAGCTTAATTCCCTTTTCAAGACATACAAGTCAATAGTCATCACATCATGTGGTGGCAAACTCCACAGTTTGATCATTAAACAAAGAAATGCCCCCTTTTACTTGATTTTACACTTTGCATGTTTTTATTGTGTTTTTAAGAAGGCTTGGGGTTCTTGTGGCGAAAAGGCAGGAAACAGATTGCTAAACAACCAACCAATCAAGAAACAAAAAACAGTAATTAAGGAAAACCCCCACAAGTTCAGGACTACAAAGGACTAACAGCAAACTTGTGGTAAAACAAGCACATTCAACTCAACCAAGTCTTGCAGCACCTAATGTAGGTTAATAAAGTTATTGTAATGTATAGCATAATGAAGTTGAGGAGTTCCTGGTTTTCCAAGGGTTAACCGAACCTGGGTAGGGTGGACAGTTGAAAATCACTGAAAAAAGGGCGACACCAATTTGCATTTTTTAATGTAGTTGCAATAATGTACTGTAATTTAAACAGTACAATACACCTCACCACAGTGGGGAAGACACCAGGTAACCTACAGTCTGTTGACCAGGTGCTCCTGTTGACTACAGAGCTCCTGCTCTCCCTGTGGTTCCTTATCAAACAGAGGGCACCTTATCAAACGGTCACCTGACAGCCCTTCAAAAATAAAGAGGCCTGTCCTCTACAAAGCAGGACACATTGCTATATCCCAAACCTGGGGAGCCCTATACCCCTTTCACAGTCCCTCGTTTCCAGCTACCAAGATGGAGCCAGAGGCTTCCGCTCGAAAACCCAACGAAAAGCAGGCGCCCAGGCCCAACTGCGAGGCGCGAGGTCCGCCGAGACGTCGGCTTTCAAAGCCTGCCGCGCACGTGCGCTTTGTTTTGGTGAGGGAGCCGTTGGCGCGCCGACGCGCCTGCGCACAGCTGCGGGCCGCTCCGCCGCCAAAGGGCCGGGCGGAGAGGGCGGAACCGCCGCCTGCGCAGGCGCAGACCTCGTGAGACGCGCTCTCGAGCCGCTGGGTGGCTGGCCGAGGCGCTTTCCCCCTCCCTCTCCTCACCCCTCCCCTTTTCCCCCGCCCGAGGGGAGGGGGAGCAGCGCCACCGCCGCTGCCGCCGCCGGAGGTGTTTTGCCGTTCTCAAGGCTGCGGCCTCCCTGAGGTGCCTCGAGGTCCTGCGTTGCCCCCGAGCGGCGACGGCGGTGGCGGGCAGAGGGGCGGCCGCGTCGCTCGGAAAATGTCGCAGACAGCCATGTCGGAGACGTACGGTAGGGAGGGGCTGGGCTGGCGGGGCTGGGTGGGTGGTACTCGGGCTCTGAGGTGAAGCGGGGCTGCGGGCGGCGGCTGTGCCTGTAGAGATAGGGAAGGGAGGGGTTGTTTTCAGGGAGGTGGGCGCTCTCTTTCCGCACACGGCGCCCGCGGGCCCGCTTCGGACCTGCGGCGTGATGCGGTGGAGACGGACATGGCACAAGCGCGCGCGGCGTTATTGCTTCTCTCGCCCCCGTTTATGCAGAATTCATAGCATTTGTTGCCTGCCCTTCCCCTGGGGGCCCAGGGCGGGGAACGGCCGCGCAGCATTAAAAATCAAAGAAATCAATGCAAGGACAGAGCCAGTATTGCTTGTGGGTACGCACACCTTGCACAGGGGAGGCCCTTGCAGATGTCTTCGCATTCGCCCCTTCCCTCCTTGTTTTCGGTACCCATGTGTAGACAAGGAGGAATGGAGAAACCAGGTAGTATAGTGGTGTTGCATACAGGTCCTCGGCTTTTCGGCTGCATGGATCACTGGCTTTTTTCAAGAAAGGGCTGAATTACGTGTGCTTTTTAAACATACTGTATATCTTAACCTAGGCTATTGTAATTGGCACATTAAAGCCCTTCGTATAGTTTTCTTCTTTATATAACACTCACAGCAGCCCTGTTCGGTAGGCTATCATTTTTATGTCTGTGCTATTATAGATCAGCAGTTTCTAACCATTTTCTAACCTGATACCCACATTAGGCCAAGCATGCATTTTGGAACCCATTTCTTAAATTTCTACCATACCTTTTTCAAGGGGTGCTGTCATGACTTGTATTAGGCCAGACTGTGAGGCAATAGTGAGCCATGTATGGTGCTGTATGTAGGGCTGCTTCTGAGAGGTAATGGTTTTTGCTATGGGGAAAGTAACATTAGTGGGAGATTTTCTTCTGTGTGGATAGCAACTGGAATAAATAAACAGAAAAACTAGGAATTTCATGGGAAACATTAAGCATTGTTACTGAACTAATAACATCTGCTTGCACCCAGATTTTGAAAAGAGAAAGAAGGCCTATCCTATGTGACAAATCTAGATTAAATGCTCTAAAAGCAGTGTTTTTTACTTGGGGACAAAAGCTGGAGCCAAGGCAGCATATGCTCTCTTATCTCAAGACTGCAGTCAGTCTACTCTGTTGATAAATGATCACAGTTCTCAATCTTTGTCAGTGATTAGCTTATGCTTCACTACATGCTTAAACATAGTGGTGCTCCATATTTGTTGTATGATGTATACCAGGCATAGGCAAACTCAGCCCTCTAGATGTTTTGAGACTACAGTTCCCATTCATCCCTGACCACTGGTCCTGTTAGCTAGGGATCATGGGAGTTGTAGTCCCAAAACATCTGGAGGGCTGAGTTTGCCTATGCCTGATGCATACAATTTCATTTACAAAGACACTCAAGAGGTATTTTGGACTACAGCTCCCAACAACCCCAACAGTGCTAGCTGGAGCTGGTGGGAATTTATGTGTCGAGCTCCAGATTGTAGACGCCAGCGCATGCTATTCAGCCTGAAAAAAATGAAGAAAATTATACCAGGGCCAAGTGAATAATTGCTGCATGTTTATAAAGGAGCAAGTAATGTACATATTTCTACAAATCTGGAAAATGGGTTAAATAATGCAAAACTAGGAGAGTTAACCGCTGTAGTTTATGAGAAACTCTATGCTACAAGAAATCATACTACAGGTGTGTGAGTAAGCCAGTGAGCAAGTGAAAAAACAAGGGTAGGCAAAGTAATACCATTTTCATCTATAAAGACACCAAGTTCAGGGAGCTCTCTTGAGTTAGCACCCACATACTGGTTGCATCCCCCTTACTGAACGCAAGCTGTAGTGTATGCTAGCAACATAGCAGCAGATGGTCCCTGGTCATGCTATCAAGAGCATGTATGGTTTTAGCTAGAAGGCTTACTCTACTCTTCTGCTACACATCGTAGTTAAACTTCCTGATTAGCAGCACCTTTGTTTTAATTGAGGAACTTGTTTCTTTCTAGTAGCTGCTGGGACTCAGTTTGTTTGCACTTCTACTGTTGGTGCTTTTTTTCGCTTGAATCAAACCCATTTTCTTAAAATAAAGTGAAAAATTCTGGTTGTTGTATACCAAACCATTATCTTTTGGCAGTATCCCATAAACATCATTATGTATTGAACGATGACTTGAAGAGCTTCTGGGAAGAAACTTAGGGCAGCATAAAAGAAGAGGCAGAGATGCAGGAAGAGTATACTCCATTTTGAGCCTCCATGATTTGGAATATCTCAGGCATAATAACTTGTTTTCTGGGCTTCACTATCCTGCAATTAAAAATATATATTTTACTTACCCTTTCTTTGAGACTTTTTGTTGAGATCTTCCTGCCCTAATTTCCCTGATGAGATTACTAAATTGTTAGTTTCTTTCGTATTTTTTGCATAGTAATTGCCTTTGTTTTTCCTTTTAAAATATTCCAGGCAGAAAACATTTTTGTAGGTGCATAGGAATAAAAGCAGTAATACACCTATGCCAAATAAAGAAAATCTGTGAAAGAATACTGCAGGAGATGAAGTACTGTACTACATTCCTTTTTAGATGCCATTCTTGTTTGCTGATCCATAGTACATGCACAAAAGATAGATTTTTCAGTTTATATCTACCATCACATCTAGTCTAATTCTATCATTATTAGGGGAATTGTTATATTGCCCACAGAGTGGAATATTTTTGAGAATTACTAAATAGATAGACGCGGGTGGCGCTGTGGGTTAAACCACAGAGCCTAGGACTTGCCGATCAGAAAGTCGGTGGTTCGAATCCCCACAACTGGGTGAGCTCCTGTTGCATGGTCCCTGCTCCTGCCAACCTAGCAGTTCGAAAGCACGTCAAAGTGCAAGTAGATAAATAGGTACCGCTCTGGCGGGAAGGTAAACAGCATTCCTGTGCGCTGCTCTGGTTCGCCAGAAGCAGCTTAGTCATGCTGGCCACATGACCCAGAAACTGTACGCCGGCTCCCTTGGCCAATAAAGCAAGATGAGCGCCGCAACCATAGAGTTGATCACGACTGGACCTAATGGTCAGGGGTCCCTTTACCTTTACAATATAATAGAGCCTTTGTCCACTCCAAACACAACATGGAAGACTAATGGTTGGATTTTTAATTTCTCAAAACAACTGAAGAATAAAAGCTACCCTGAATCAATAACTTTTAATGCTCATTTATTGCATCCTTAAAGCTTTGATAGTCGTGTATTTCATAGCATTCACATTTGTGTTATGAGGTTCTTGCCTCTATATAGCCCTTAATGTTTCAAGATTGGCTATGATAATAGTGACTGTGGGTCTCTTCTTGGCTGCATTTTTGTCTTCGATCATTCCTAGTAACAACAGACTTCTCTAGGGTGAGAGGCCAGACAGCTCAACAAATCTTGGAGCTCAAAGCTTCTTTGTCAGCGAGGAAGAAAGAGAAAATCAGCCCTATAATGAAGTGCCTTTCATAGCTTTGTTTTTAGTTTTTTGTTTCATCTAGAAAAAAGAAGCTGCAAGTAAAGCTGAAGAAATAACTGGCGTGTGAATTGCTTTCACTACACTGTGCCAGAAGTAAAACATGCAAACAATTTCCCCCACAGTTGTTTAGAATAACAATAGCTAGTTTCAGGTTAACATCCGATTCACATGAGCCTATGGTGCTTTATAGCACTATGATCCCCCCACCCACCCCAGTTGTAAAAGGAATATATTATCAGCAGCATGGATTTGAGCATGTTGGGAAAGTTTAGAAATTGCTGCTTGGGCATTGCTGATAGCCTTGCCATATTTACAAGAGAAACTTTACTTTGTATGTATAGAGTAAGCCAGTTTTGAATGTGACGTAATAGAGAAGTTTGGTGGTCAGATAGCTTCAGACTGTGAAACATCTGAAGATCCCATAGATCAGGGGTTGGGAACCTCAGGCTGCAGGCCCAAATGCAGCCCTCCAAACCTCTGTCCAGCCATCGAAATTCTCCCACTGTATGCTCCTCCTCAGGTCACATTCCTTTTACAGTTCTTACCTGGATAGAGGACCAAAAGATGCGGGCGTGTGTAGAAACCTCTGGTTTTTGGGTACAGGAGCATTACCTACTATATAATAGTAAAAATCACATTCCTTGTGCCTCCCAGTTTTTCCTCTGGCCCCATCCACCACTGGCATGTGGCCCCTGAATGGCTGCATAGGAGGGAATGCACTTCTCAGGCTGCAAAAAAGTTCCCTGCTACAGCTATAGGTGTTACTAAATGTTTGCTGTTTTAAAAGCATAAATCTCCCACTTAAAAGTGCTTCGCTTTGGCTAGTTTGTGTCCTTCCTCTCCCTGCCCTACTCTTTTTCATATTGTGCCTTGCAAACTTGAAAGGGATATTTTTTCTGCTGATTCATCTGAATTGGATTATAACTTCAGTTAGTTTTTTATCATGGTATTCAGAGATGCCAAACTTGGGTATGTATCTAAAAAATCCAACTTGATGTTATTTGTCCTTTGCTACTTATGCCTCACAGAGAACCTGCCCTGTTGTTTTTTTTAATGTTTGATTCAACACTTTTAGAATCTAGATTGTTGGAATAAATCAGCTCTTGTTTTATTACCAAAATAGTACTACAAAGGCTGGGAGAAAAATTCAAATCTGAAATGCTGATTTTTGTCTAAGACAGATTCATATGTCATGTGTAGAATACAAATAGCCATACTTATTCCTTTGTTCTGTTGCAATATCTTGCCAAGCCAGGCACTGAATAGCAACCAGACAGTTTATCTGTTCTGTGTCCTTGTGATTTCTTTTTATGACAAAGGGAAAAAGCAGTAATAGCATGTTTCTTTTGCATTTGAAGATGCTCATTTGGTTGTCTTATCATTTTCAGATTTCCTGTTTAAGTTTTTGGTAATTGGAAATGCAGGCACTGGAAAGTCCTGTTTGCTTCATCAATTTATTGAGAAGAAATGTAAGTATAATGCAGATGTTGTGGGGTTCTTAGGGGTGGGGTTTTTGTGGGGGTTGCTCAACAGAACTCTGGTCCACATTGGTCCTTATAAAAAACTGGCTAACAGCATTTTTTGGACAGAAGTGATCTGGCATTTCTTAGACAGTAGTATGAATAAGTAGGGACATGTGCAATGCAATCCATGTATTTCCTTGGAAGTAAATCCCATTGTACTCAGTGTAGCTTACTCCTCGGTATGTATTATCTACCCCAAATCACTTTCTATGTAGGCTTGAGAGAACATGCTATCAATATCTTCCTTAATACCATGCCTACCATGTTTTCATTGTGTGTAGGATCAAAATTTGCTAACACAGTGATACATAAATGGGGTGTGTGAACTGCCCAGGATAGCCCTAAGAGCTGACTTGATAGATTACCATTCTACATAATACCCCTTGCCAGTACAATGGCACTCCATCAAGGCAGATTTCAGGCTCTTCTGGGCAGTTCACACATTCCATTTATATGTCACTGTGATAACAAATTTTGATCCTACACAAAATGAAAACATGGTAGCCACAACTTCAGGCATGGGTATTGATAGCATGTTCTCATAAATCTTAGTTAACAAAACTTAGGGGTGGTTGAGAAGGAGACATTTTTTTGTTGCAAAGCAACCTTTGAATAAGAAAATTCCCTTGACTAGTGCCACTAGTAAATTTTGGGAATTGTCACATTTGTGCATGCATATATGTATATGTATATATATGTATATGCACATAGCCCACCATCCAATGTTGGATGAATTCACACAACTATATAATGCATTTCATTTTAACATATCTTGTCTAGCATATTCACAGAGTGTTCACAGAAGCATATTCTAATACCCCTGAATATGTGTTGAAAAGTGTGTGAATTTATCTTAAAAATTCCCCTTGGTTAAGTTAACAAATACACTGCTGCCTGTATAGAACAGATTATGGATAAATAATAAAAATGTCACTGTTAATATAATATCCTTGTGTACTTTAAATTGTACTTGAATACTAATAGACACCTTTTCTATTCTAGTCAAAGATGACTCAAATCATACTATAGGAGTGGAGTTTGGTTCAAAGATAATAAATGTTGGAGGCAAATATGTAAAACTACAAATATGGGATACAGCTGGACAAGAGCGATTCAGGTATATTTTCATAGCACAGAAATTCGTTGGCATGTTAGTTGAAGAAAGTGGCATGTGACTTTTTTGTTAGCAAGTTTGTTGGATACTGGCTACTGTTTCACTAGTTCTGTGACATCCAGTTGTATTGTGACTATAGGAGAACTTGTAGGCAAAAGTAAGTATTGTTAAATCATTCATTTCTTCTGGAGAGTTTTAATATATGCCCCCTCAAAACTGGTGAGGCTTAAAGCTGCTCAACTTTGGCTCAATCATGACTGTACTGCCTTGTTAAGCGGACACAGTAGCTTCTGTATTGTTCGTAATTGTAGCACTGTGTAGAGCATAGCTTATTGTCATCTTATAGTGGTATATGTTTTCCTTCACAGGTCTGTAACCCGAAGCTACTACAGAGGTGCAGCGGGTGCCTTACTTGTTTATGACATCACCAGGTAAAAGGAAAAACTGCTATAAATATAAGTACAGATAAACTATTCTGCTTTTCCTGTGGGTATCCTTAGGTAGACATGTAATCCTTTACAGCCAAGATAAATTAATCACATAATAGCAATTATCATGGGACAAGTTCAGCTTTCATAGCTTCTTGAGGTTACGCACACAAAATTCACACAAGTGTGCTCCCAGCCCTATTTCATTTGAGCTGCTGTATCTTAAATGGGGGTCTAATTTTACAGTAAAGAACCCCTTTCAAACCATCCTACATATAAAAATATTTTAAGTTCAATCTAGTACAAAATCTGACTTCAGTGGCTTAGGAGCCAGACTAGCCTCTTTCCTAGTTCATCTCTCTCCTCTCCATCCCCAACATGCACAAGCCATGTTTCCTTAAAATTTATTTATGCCCAAGCTTTTATATCTGGTTCTAGCAGCTGATTGCAGTATATACATACAGTAGGCCATGATGCCCAACTTGGACTCTTCTGAGTCCTGTGTGGAGTCTTGCACATCAAGGACTTCTTGAGATTGTGAGAGACCATCACCATTAGTCATCTTGGGAATCAATTTTTTTCTGGATGAAGAAACACTGGGGACCATGCTTCGTTTACTCCTGAGAGTGTTTTCTGTCACCTTTCTTGGATACCAATGACTCCTTCATAGAAATGGCCCCCTTACTTTCAGTTGTCTTAGAGTGCATGCCTCAGAAACAGAGTGGTGTTCCTTTAACTCAAAACTGATTTTCTTAGAGACTTAAATACACACACACTACAAAAAAAGTAAGTCTGTTGTAATGTTACATTCAACTGTATAAGGGGCAAGTTTCACTGGTTACACTTGCCCTTGCTTTCAGTGTCCACAGTGCACTGGCACAAGTCCAAATGTAGGACTAACACTGCATGCTCTTTGGTGTTGCCTGCCTGCTCTGCACCCTACCACCTGTCAGGACAGCAGGTGTTCTGAATCCATTATTGCTGGGCAATAACTTCTCTGTAGTATTTTACAATGGACAAAAGAAAATACAGCAATGTTTTTTTTGTTGATCTTCTATCAAAGTGAACATGAACTATTGCTGTGTAAATCATCTAGTTAGCTAGGATAATTAAAACATAGTTTTAAGGGGGAAGTATAATTATTAACATCTAATAATTTGTCCTTTTGTGATGCAGTCGAGAAACCTACAATGCGCTTACTAACTGGCTAACAGATGCGAGGATGCTAGCAAGTCAGAATATTGTTATAATACTGTGTGGGAACAAAAAGGATCTTGATGGAGATCGGGAAGTCACTTTCTTGGAAGCATCCAGGTTTGCTCAAGAAAATGGTAAGTATTTTTCATGACCTATCTGACCCATCCTGGTGCCCTCTAGATATTTTGGACCACAACTCCGCATCATTTGGAATTATGACCTCCCCACCCAGGTATTGGAAGCTACTAGTATGGAGGGTAAAGTCAAGTCAGAGTGAGGTCAGTGCTTCTGTCATTCTGAGTGGGTGAACATTTTTGCCCCATTCTGCAACCCCCTCAGTCTCCAAAAATGGGACGAAGAAGTTGGAAGACAACTCTTTATGAAACATCCCCCAATTTTGGTGTGGTTGTAATTGGGTAATATGTCCAGTGGGCATATACCAATTATCTGAGAACTTCCGCACACCTCTTTGTTGGTATCTTGAAACCAGTTTATGACGGCATTGTTTTAGAATTGTTCAGTGCTTTGGGTATTCTTCTGGTTGAAGTTATTCTGCTACATCTTATCTGTTTACTGTTGCTTAATTTAGACTGCAATCCTAGATCTAGGAGAAGCACCATTCAACTTAACAGCACTTGCTTCTGGGCAGATACATCTAGGAATGCATTGCATATTTTTGTTTGATATATATAATATTTTGTATAATTGTTTTTTATCTTGGTTTGTTGTTAGCTGCCTTTGTAGAGGCTGGTACAAAAAGGCAGGAGATAGATAGACAGATATAGATAGATAGATAGATAGATAGATATGAGAGAGTTCATGTCAAATATTTGATAAATTACAGTAGAACAATATTAAACTCACCTGAAAAGTCACTCCTGTGGTTTGAGAACCCTTCTCTTGCTTGGAATAGGTGCTTAGGGGAGGAGTGCAGTAGGGGACGGGTGGCAAAAACAGGGTAGAATGTAGTTACAGTGGTACCTCGGGTTACATACGCTTCAGGTTACATACGCTTCAGGTTACAGACTCCACTAACCCAGAAATAGTACCTCGGGTTAAGAACTTTGCTTCAGGATGAGAACAGAAATTGTGCTCCGGTGGCACGGCAGCAGCAGGAGGCCCCATTAGCTAAAGTGATGCTTCAGGTTAAGAACAGACCTCAGGAACGAATTAAGTACTTAACCCAAGGTACCACTGTATTAGTTTCTAGGTAGTGCTCTGCCAAAGAAGGTGATTTGGCAATTAGCTTCAGAAGTGGAACAGGTGCTTTTTGACCATTCTTTGGACCAGCTTTCCCTGACTATTCTTTGGGGTAGCCTTCCTCAACCTGGTGCCCTACATATATTTTGGGCTACAGCACCCTTCAGCCTTAGCCAGTAGAGCCAGTGGTTGGGAATGATGGGAGTTGTGTTCTGCTGAAACATCTGGAGGGCAGCTAATCAGGGAAGACTGAATCAGGATATTGCTTCAGACTGATTGATTGATTGATTGATTGATCCTATGCCCTTTTAAAATGTGTTGGGGTTATTATTGGGTTGTTGGTTGTTTTTATTTTGATTCTGTATTTTGTGGTTTTATATTCTGATTTTATCCTGTGAACCACCCTGAGACTTGCGGGTACAGGGTGGTACATAATTTCAATAAATAATAATAATGATTGCAATTTTTTTTTGTTCATATTTGTTTCAGAACTTATGTTCTTGGAAACAAGTGCATTGACAGGGGAGAATGTTGAAGAGGCCTTTGTACAGTGTGCCAGAAAAATACTTAATAAAATTGAGTCAGGTAATCACAGTTCATGTTTGTGATCTCAAAATATTTTCAGCTCTATAGTATTAGACACTTTAGAGTATGTGAAATGTTGACATGTGATAAACTGCGCTCAAACTAGGTGTGCTCTTCGATTGTCATAAAGTGTCACCTAATTCTCACCTGTGTCTTAACTTGTCAAATACCTTAATGCAAGTACAAATGACCCTGAAGAGCACAATCCAAAAGGAGGTGTAACTGGTTTTCATTGAACACCCCACTAGCACCCTTTTAACAGCAGTTTCAGTGGGGTAGACCCGTTGAAATTGATGGGCTTGGGTATATCATTGGATAATCACCCAATGATAGGGGATGCTGTCAAAGCATTTTTTTACAGGTTGCTGTAAAAATGTAACATCTTTCTAAATGTGTGATTATTGAAAGAGATGTCTGACATTTAGGTTATTAATAATATTGTAACTCTGAACTGGCTTCTTGTGTGTGAAGCCTCTCAGCCTCTGACATCTAGCTTCCAACCTGCTGTACATCTTCCAACTAGTAGGAAGGGGAGGATATAATCATATAATATATTATTGTATAATGGATATAATGGATAGGGCCATTAAAAGCTTGCTTAACAATACTTATAAAACAGGCACCCCTCTGTAAAAGAAAAAAAGTACAAATTATATTTGTGTGCATATGTACATGTGTTTGTGTGTAAAGCACTATTAACTTCTCATGACTACTGTTATTGTTACTTTCAACAAAATTTAAATTATTACATTACATGTTCATGAAGACAACAGCCTTGAATTTAAATGTAATTACAACGTCTGTAAGAACAAATTGTGTTTTGTTTTATCAGGTGAACTGGATCCGGAAAGGATGGGCTCAGGTATTCAGTATGGAGATGCTGCCCTGAGACAGCTGAGATCTCCACGAAGAGCACAAGCTCAAAGTGTCCAAGAATGTGGCTGTTAGGAACTGACAACTGAAACATTCATTTGAACAAGGAAAGAGGTAAGTGTTAGCAGTTGGAGATCAGCACCTTCGTTTAGACATTGATTATTGAGGGAGGGAAAATCCATACATCAGCTCCACAGGTGGGGTGGTTTTTCTCAAATTTTCTGTGTGTCCCAAGGGCTTGTTTGTTTGTTCGTTTTACTGTCAGGATTTATGTTTTGGATATCCACCTTGTAAAAACAATGTAAATCTGTAACAGCATAACTGTAATCATGATTCCTTCTCAGAAGTCAGTCCTGTTGCAAGTAACGATTTGCACTGAAATGAAAATTCAAATCTATATCGAACCTCTTAATTTGAGAAACATTGTTTTATTTCATTTATAGCCCTCCTTTCCTCAAGAACATTTCCTTAGTGCATAACAAAAATGCACTAAGGTGGAGAATCTGTGTATGTTGTATGTTGTATGACCTTGTTGTATGACTGCTTAATTGTGTTTCTGTCTCAAAAAACAAAATAGATTAATTCTGTGGTTTCACACTAAATTGCATGGAGTTTGTTCCTAAAGTGTGCATAGGATGCCTACGTTGTTTAACACGAAATGCTGCTTATTTTTTCAGCTGTCCTTGAAAATGACGATTAATGAAACAACTGCCATGGCTTCAAGACTGCAGTTTTAGAACTGCTTTTTATTCAGTAAAGCATACCACATCTGGTATTTTTTAAAAGTACTATGAAATGGCTTCCAGAAGCGTGCACTCGGCACAGCAAGATTGCAAAAAATAAAATTTGGTAATTCAGTGGACAAGAGTAAAATATCAGTATGTAAAAAATTTTCTGTTGCATATTTTTGCTCATTTCTTCCAGTTTAAGACATTGCTGTATCCTGTGTATATAAAATGTGGTCATTAAATTTCCAAAGCATGATATACTGACATATTGTTGCACTAACATTTGTTTGTTTTATAAATAAGAACTGAAATGTAACTGGTAGGCTTTATCATGTTTGGTGGTTTGTTTTTTTGTTTTTTTGTACAATAGCTTTTATTTATGATTTGATATTGAAAGCTACTGGCATTGATTGTCAGTGTTTTATTTGCCACATTCTACAAGGTATATGATTTATTTTTTTGAAAAACAGGCCATAAGTTTACTAATATGTTGTGGGTTTTTTACTGAAGCATAACTGAACTGTTTCCTGACAATTCTTAAATGTATTTCAATCACTTTGACAACTGTAGGCTATACAATTCATTTGTGATCTTAAGAGCTTACTGCTGTCTGATCTTGCCTTGGGGAATCCTTGTTTTCTACATCTGAAATTGTAACTGAAATTTTATGTTTCGGGGAAAAGATAATGCCTACTTGTTTTGCCATTCTAGAACAGTGTTTGAAGTTGTGAATCATCGTTATCTGACTTCTTTTTTTAAAATTAAAGTAATTTCTATACCTAAGACTCTGTTCAGGTTATCCTCCTTAAAAAGAAGCAATTTGTTATGAAAAGTAGCATATGTTGTATAGACTGCTTCAAAATCTGTAGTACTTAATGCATTGCAGTCAGCTTCTTTTACTCTGTAATTTAGAAACACAATACAGTAAATGGCAGCAACTAGTCAAAGATAAACAGTGCCCTCTGCCTTCATGGTATCTAACTGAGAGTTCTATAGAGACACTTGGAAATATGAAACCTTGACTTTGCCTAAGAGAGAGAGGTGTGCGTATGTAAAAGTAAAATGTTCTTGACACCTAAAAACTCCAGAACATGAACATTTATGACTGTTGATACACAGATAATTCTGAAATATGGAAACATTGAAGCGGTATATGGGAGGTGTAAATATAGCTATTTGAGCTAGATTGTGTTAGTTTTAACTAAGGATGTACATTGCTTAAAACTTTTTGGTTGGTCATATCTGAGGATGTTACACAGTGAGGGCAAACATTGACATTATTGTCAAATAAGTATTTGATTGAGCCTAAGTTGGCAAGACACATGAGCAGTCTCTTTTTTGAATGTTTATTTACTCAAAATGCAGGCAGCAGGAGAGACTGAATTTGATTGGAGCTGTGAGACATTTTTCTGATAAAAATCACTGCTTCCAGCTCCTCCTGTCTCAGCTAGTTTCACATCCTTGAGGAGAAACTATACAGAGCAACTGGAGGTAGGATCTACAAGACATGGTTTAAGCACCCTTTCTAGAACATAGCTGCTCTGATGTTTTTATGCTGCTTTTCTCTCATAAATTGCATTTAAGGCAATTTAATAAGTGGTCTAGAACAACTCAAAAACAATTGCAATAAATACAAAATGGCAAATAAAAGTAACAAAGCTTCATTACAATGCAGGTAAAATAGTTAAAATAATGTAAATAAGACTTTAGCAGTCCTTTGCCAAGCCAAAGCGCATCACATTGAATGACAAAAACTGAACAGGTCAGCAAAGTAAACTGAATGCCATAAGCCGAGATAAACAGGTCAGGCTCCAGTGGCAGGGGTGCCCAGAGCAGGGCCCATGACTACAACTCTTAACTGATGGGCAAGTTCATCCAGGAACTGGCGGTCCTCCAGCTCTGCAGGCCTGTTGCTGCATTTCAGTAAATAAATAATGGTTGGGAGACAGCTCATGCATTTTAATCCAAGATGAAAAACACATTTTAATGTTGGCATTTGAGTACATTTTTCATCCTCCCCTCCCCTCTCCCCCCCACCATTCAGGGAAAGTAAAATGACACAGATTGCCAGCACGTTACTCATTAGCATACAAAATGGACACTGTAATCCTTTGAGGTAAATGAGAACCTTTAATTTGAAGGGGTTGATTCATCAAAAAGTTAATTCCCAAAAATAAAGTAGACTGATGTAAACAAAATAACATGCTTCCATGCATTGTACTGGGGAAAAAGTCAATTTGAAGTCTAGTTAAACATCCACTCAAAGTAAAGAAAGTGATTAGCATGCAGTATCTATTAACGTATTTGGTTCACAGCATGGGTATATGAGGTGCACTGCATGGATGTCTTATAACGGTTCAGAAGTACTTTCAAAGAATATTATTTGGTGTGTGTGTGTTTTTATTATGTACTTTTTCTAATGTTACATATATTAATGTCAACAATTCCAAAGAAGTTTGGTCAGTAAGTCCTAAAGTCCAACTTGTAACTTGTTCCTAGTCTTCTACATAATACTTGAAGCTCCCCTTTCTCCTCCCTCCCACCCCCTACCCAGTAACTACTGTACTGCTGCCCTCTCTCAAACTGGAGGGAATAGCAGAAAAAAGGAGGTGCCATGCTACTATTAATTGTGAACCGATTAATGATGTAGTGAAAACTCAGGTATTTACTCCATAGGTTTTTGTACATCTTCCTGTTGCATTTAGTTCTTCCCCACAATCCCTTTTCATCTTCCACACATCTTTCATTTACATGGATCACCCTGGGCCAACCTGGTGCCTGACTGATGTTTTGGACTACGCCTTCAATCAGCCTCAACCAGCGGGACTTGTAGTCCAAAATATGTGGAAGGTGCCAGGTTAGCGTAGACTGATGTAAATGGTTGGTAGTTAGTACTACAGCACAAAAACTGATCTCTCTCTATCGCTAGCCTCCTTTATAGTTGGTTGACGAACTCAAGGCCTTGTACCTTACTGTTTGTATTTAGGTGTTTTGGGTTGTGTGTGTTCTGAGGGAGTTCTGTTTCCTCTACTTCCCTCCAGTGATCTGTTTTTTTGTTTTGTTTTTAACATCAATGCAAATGCAGGCACGATAAACTCTCTGTCTTGCTGTTTGTTTCCAGATTTAGCTAATAAATGTCACTTCACAAACTTGCTTATCTTTGATAAAGGGAAAGACAATTGGAACTTAGAATTTCTATGGGGCTAAAATTACCTTAGGCAGAACTGTACTGCGGCTTCAGTTCTAAACTAATATTTGTATGCTCCTTTCCAAATTTTGTGTCTGCAAATTAGCATGAATAAGTTTTTGTTTCTGCAGAAAATTTCATGAGAGTTCATGCCTCCTGTGCCCACAGATTGCCCCCAACACTTCTTCCTGGTTGTTTCCCAAAACCGGGTTTATTTAAATATTAGAGCTAGGCTTTGCGAGGAGGAAAGTTGGTTCAGGAAATGATTAGAGACACCCAGGTCATTGATTGTTGTCTATAAAGGCTTGCCTTCACTATATTACTGTTTCTAAGGGATCCCTTGCAGTGTGTAGTGTCACACTTCAAGACTCTGAAAATTGTAGCTGTACTCTTGTACACCCTTGTTAACATGAGTTGGAGGAACTGTAGTTCATGCAGTTGAAATGTGCTAGATTGCTACCTGTATTGGCTTGGTTCCACAAGTTGGAACTGCAAGAGCTTAAGAAGTATTATTACAGTTGAGCCTCAAGACAAATGCTCTTGGCATTTAATTGCTTCTAAAAATAAAAGTGCTTTTACACAGTGTTAGTATACATTAAACTTTAAATGCATGACTTCTATACTGTATAAAGAATTTACTATGCTGCTTAATGTCACCAGAGAAATGTTACTAAATAAAAGGTTTTATTTAAATGTATTTACTGTAGGTTTCTTTTCAATCACGGCAGGCTTGGGGAGGGTGTGGGTGGAAGGGGTGGAAAGCTATGCTCCCTGGCTGATCAGCCTTTTCATACATCCACCATTTCCTGCATTGTTAACATCTCCAATGCGCACTGTTGCATCTCTATGAAATCTCAACCCTGCCAAGGGAGATGTTCAGAATTTTAACAATATCAATAATCTTATTTATCTACATGCATTTGACACCCCCATACATTAAATGCTCGGAATCTTAATCATGACTTGCTAAAACAAAGTGGCATGATTGCCATGGAAACAAGCACACAATTTTTAATGGATGGATGTATGCTAGGTAGCTTATGTGATTTTAAATGGTTTCATGTGCAATGCCTGATTTTAAGCTTTAGTCTTACTTAGGTTATTTCTGGACAGTAATAATTGGATTTTCTATGTTTCTTACTGAATAATCCAGCAACCAACTGTCCAGTGCATGTTTCCTGTTAATATTACAAAGCTGACCCAGCTATATTCTATGGAGAACTGAAAAAATATCACCAGTTTCCCAAATTTTAATGTGTTCTTACCCTGCTTTTAGGTAATGAATACATTATGAGACACCCATTTATCATCTTGGGGACAAAAGTAACATTAAAAATAAAATATTTATCTATTATTTAGGAAACATGAGTAGTTAAGGTGGGAAGGAAATTGTAACACTTATGTACTGTAACCCAGGTCTTGTTACTTTTTGAAAGAAGTGTTGCCTCCCTCATAAAGTGTAGACCAAAAATCCATACCATCTCAAGTTTAGGACTCATCCACACACTTCCCTTTGACTTGTGATTTCTTCTGTTTAGCCCATGACATCCAGGCATGGATCAGAGAGGTTTTCCTTTTGTTCTGCCACTTTCCCAGGGAAAACCTGCTGTTTACTGCTCAATTGGAACAAACGCCAAGTCGCAGAAAACCCAAATGATGTTTGCTCTGATTCAGCAGTAAACATCAGGTTTTGCCTGGGAAAGCAGTGGGAGAAAAGAAAAATCTCTCGGACCAATGCCTAGAAGTCACGGACCAAACAGAAGGGTGAATAAGCCCTTAGTGTAAATGGTGTTCAAAGCTATTGTATCTACTTAGTAGTAAGTTAGGATGCTAGACTTGGTGATTAATATATGGTCAGATATACATGCAGTGTTACATCAAGGCTACAGTTCTCTGCTCGCTTAGGGGACAAAGCCTTGGCAACCACAAGGTGGGGGGCTTAACAGCCCCTATTGGGCATGTTTATTCAGACAGCTGGTATTCTATGCCAAAACAGAAAGTAAGAGTCTACTAACTTGATCACTTGTTTGAAGCAGTACTTTGATCATTGCCCTTAGTCCAATTTATCCCTAAGATTTTCAAAACCCACAGACAAGCTAAAAACCTCTTATTTACATGTAGTAATCATTTAAGCATTTCCCAGTATGTTTGGAGTTTCTTAGCCCATCCAATCTTTTACTGTTTTGCTGACTGGAAAGGGGCGCACCACTAAAGATAAAGTGTATGGGGGAGGTGTCTAGATGTCTAGTGTCACTCAGTTGTGTCTGAAAGCAGCTTAAAATTAGTGTCCATAGTGGGGAATATTTTTCAACCCAATGGCCACATTCCAGTTTGCGCAACCTTTAGGGCCCATGCTGCAGTGGTAGATGGAGCCAGAAGCAAAAGTGGCCAGAGTCAATGTAACCTTTGCCTTTGTACAGCAGGCTAGTTTTCAACACACACAAAACCTGTATTACCCATCCAGACAAAACAAGAGAAATTAGTGGAATTTAAGAACACATTTCAGCCACGCAAAATGACTTGTGGTTCCAGTGAGGGTTCTGGCCTGAGAAGAATTCTGGATGCCAGAGGGAGAGAGGCCTGGAGGGCCACATTCAACCCACAGGCCTGAGGTAAAACATAGCATTATTCACCACAAATTTGACTAATCTCTTAAAGGCATCCAAGGTGGTGCATTTTGTGGGAATAAATACCATAGTTTTCTAAACCTATGGTGGAAGGTTCAGGAAAGGGCAACCAAAATGATCAAGGAAGGGTGCAGCAATTCCCCTATGAAGAAAAGTTTTTGTGTTCCAAAAAGCCAATTGGGAGTTTTTAGCTTGCGAAAAGGGGAAGAGGAGACATGATGAATAAAATTATGCATGGTGCAGAGAGAAAAAAGATTGGGAGGCGGTTAATTTCTACACATTCTTTTGCATCCCTCTCTATCTTACAGGCAACAGAGAGGGATTGTCAAAGTGGAAGGACACATTACAACCAGCCAAAAACAACTCAAGGAAGGTACAAGCAGGTCTGGTCAGAGGCCAAATAGTGTCCTTGGGGGCTGTATTTGGGCTGTAGGTCAGAGGTTCCCTATTCCTGCTATAGTCTTTTGCAGTTACTAGCCTTAAGGTGGCAGCCCACTGAGAGGACGCAGAGGCACGAGGCCCCTAAAGCTTACATAAGAGTCATAAGACTTATTTCACCATTATCAAGAAAGCACAACAACTGCTTTTTCAAAATGTTTTTCCCCCCAAATTGATTTTATTCACATGTACAAAGTCATGGCAAGTACAGTTAAATATAAATAACACAAGAACATTAGAAAAAAAACACACTATTTAAAAACACATTCTAAGTCACATATTGCTTCAAGCTTATTTTCCCCCAAGCTTTTATCTAAAGTGATTTCAGTGCTCACAAAAGCTAAGTGTGGCAGCTTCCCTGTACCTTTAACTTTACATTATAGGAACTACATACAGAAACATAGAGTCAAGAGTTTATAGCCCCCACCTGTTCAAGTATCTGGGCCTTAAACAGTCGTGCTCAAAAGACTGCCATGCTTGGTCTGGTTACTCACACTTTATGGCTTTAGGCTATATGTTGCTCTTTGTATTACACCAGCGTTTTGGTACTCCTAGCCTGTCACAAACCAACATATTTCAAGGAGGCAGGAGTATGCAAACATAAACTAGTAGATAGTTTGTGCTTCAGGTGATGCTGCCTCCCACATCAAGAAGGTAACTTTCTCATCTAGAAGCCATATTTAATACCAATCTGGTATAGACAGTTTTCAGTAGGCTAAAATGTGAGTGGTCTCAATTGCTTATATTCCCGTCTGCCCTGGCAGCTCAAGCAGGGGAGACACATTTCAAAGGTGGGAGAAGACCCTGAGGGAAGTTGAGCCAGAGCCATTTTCCCATCATACAACAGGTCTAGCACTACATCTACCATTGTGCCAACCCCAAAAGCTTCAAAAGGCAGGGAGGATGTGGGACCCTCACCAAATTTGGTCAATTCTAGGGGAAGTCTAATCCCAGGGCTGAATATGCATTCTGCTCCATGCTTACAGAAGACATAGCTGCCAGTAATAGTGAAGGAGGGCTCAGTACAAGCAAGATGCCTGAGGGTAAACAGTAAAAAGAAAAGAAAAAGCATAACCATGATATTTAAAAATAGAGAAGTCAACTCTTGCTAACAATAGCTTGTTGTTGAAGTTACTGGATAGTGATGCAAGAAACGTGGTGGTACAAATATACACAAAGCATACCTTTTTTTGCACAATGTCACACCATAAACATGTTTCACAAAAGTAAATGTCTAATTGGAACAGTAGATACTTCTTCTTTTTTTCTGTGCTGGAACAATGAGTGTCATTTGTGCATTTCAGTTTCATGCATTTGGTAGTGATACTATGCCAGTTTTGTGAAGACAGATGGGCCATAAATAGGACTTTTCTCAAGTTCCAACAAGGAAAGAGGGGTCTTTCTCATGAGAATGTCCCTATTTTAAAATTAAAAGCAAAAGCATTATTTATACCTAGAAGACTAGAGCAGCTCAGAATTTGTCGTCCCACCACCACCAATTCCAGCTTTAGTAAACACATCTGTAAATAAGCTTCTTTATTTCCTAGTGAGGATGGTAGTTTTGCCATTTCCTGCCAACTTTAGCCCTCTTCAGTTGGGACTATCTGAAAATATAATGCAAGAAATGGGGGGGGGGGACCTGCATGGAGGCTCCTTGAGTGATGCAGAATCTTGTTAAACCTGGATTCTAAAATGCACAGGAAATATTTACCCGTAGAAGCAGATTCCTCGCTTTGCACACCTGCCCTTCAATTTACAGAGGGAGACAGAGACAGGGTGGTACTCACATGCTATATTTATAGATTTTTATCACAGCTGAACAGGGCTTTTGTCAGGAAATGCACCTGCAATCCTTTGCTCATTTGCCTGGAAGTGTCACTGAACTCTATGAGACTTCTGAGTAAACATGTTTAGGATTGCAATCCAAGAGACTCCATGTCTAACACCACATTAATGCCCAGTTGAAGGGGAGGAGGGGATCGCTTAAAGTTAAGATAAAAACCACTCTACACAGAGAAGCAAGCAGATGCTCCAAGTGCAACAGCGATATGCACACACCCCATTTGCAAATTACCAGAATTATAAGTGACTTAAGCCACCCAACACATCCTTGTGGAAGACTGAAAACCCAGACTTTTAGTATCCTTGTTTCAACAGTGTCTTCAAAATTTCCAACGTCCATCCATGTGTCAGTTAGCTTACAAGAAGTTTAGCTGAACACATTCTGTGAAGTTAAAAATGGCAACATGAACAGCCCTTTGAAAAGAGAATCCAAAATATTTTCAAAAAGCTGCCAGTTGTTTTAAGAAAAGTGGTCTTTAGGACACAAGAAAAAATGTCCTTCATGTATCCCTTGGAAGCAGGACGGGAGTCAATATTGTATAACAAAGATAGAGAAATGTATTATTATGTTAAAGCCATGTACAATTGAAGTCCTTTAATTTTGTAAAGTGAAGATAAGGGATTAAATTAAAAAAAGACTGAAGGAAACATAGTTCCAACCACAGGCCTACAGATGGAAAGAAAGCAGAAGTCAAAGGAGCCAAAAGCCACCTGCAGCAACCATGGAAGAGAGAACTCAAACACTGAGTGACCACAGAGTTTCTGGGGAGAGTACCTGATGTAGCCTTTGGAATGAAAGGCTACCAATAACTGTTTCCCAAAATTTGAGTTATTTAAGTCTTAATGATTGAGACTAATGCCACCTGCATAAAACCACCCCTACATGAATGGAGCCAACATAATTTGAAATACAATCAAACCTCGGTTGTCAAATGTAATCCATTCTGGAATCCCATTTGACTTCTGAAATGTTCGACAAACAAGGCGCAGCTTCCGATTGGTTGCAAGAGCTTCTTGCACTCAAGCGGAAGCCACGTCGGACATCTGGCTTCCGAAAAACCTTCGAAAACCGGAGCATTTTCTTCCAGGTTTTCGGCGTTTGGGAGCCGAAACGTTAAAAAACCTTGAGAACAAAGGTTTGACTATATAAGGAGACTATTTTAAGCAGCTTATTAACCACCAGTTCGGTGTTTGATACACACACAAAAATGGCAGGTAGTCTCACAATATGCGATACAAACTTTAAACTGTAACAGATTTGTCACATTCTCATAATTGCCAATGGCTTCATCCTCTGAATTACACAAATCAACTTTTTTTGGTGGTCAGGGGGAATAAGGGGCATGTCATACACTTGAGAAGTATAGCAAAATTTGCCTGAGTCCTGAACATGCCTCTGGAATGTACACTAACTTGGTCTGGTAGGTTCAATTCAAGAGCTGAAATAGTCGTAACATTTCACTTATGCAGAAGCTCACCTAACAAAACTCTTTACAAAGCATATTTAATCCACCCAAATAAAGCATTAAAAAAAAATCTACATCCCAGTTCACTGTCACCAAGTCCATGTTACTTACTGCAAAGTACTGATAACTAATAGTTAATGATTGTCTACACCTGCCATTTGGTACCACAGGCTCATGATAGCAAATTTAAAAAGCTAAAAACATAAACACGTCACATTACTAATCTATTGCACCAAAATCTCCAGTTCCAGATGGTCACAAAACCTAAAACTGGAATGTAAACCTGAACAAGTCACTATATATCTACCAAAAGTTGGGGAGAGCTTTCAGAATTCTAAAAATGGAGCATTTCCAATTATACAATCTTCTACACATCTGGCTGCAAGAGCCTGCACATCTGGCCTTCACAGCAAGATAGATAGATAACAGTCCCCTGTTTTTGTAGTTACTGGATTGAATCCACAGAGGGCAGAAAGTCTGCATTTGGCTCGCTAGGTCTCAAGTTGTACAGGTCTGAGGAAAATCATAGCAACTTAACTAGAATCACATGAAAATACAATGGCACCTACAAATAATTTTTACAGACCTGATTTGTAAAGCCTTATGGCTCCCCTATAGGGAAAAGTTTTGAGTTCTATGCAACATCAGGGCAAGAAATTTCCCATGGATTACGATCCATGTGTTTTGATGATTAAGGAGGGACTAAATATTTGTCAAAATAACCCTTCTGAGGTCTTTCATTTTAAAAAGTTCATTCTACAACATTCCATAGCTTTTCCGCTCAAGGTCAACAGAAAGATCTCTTAATATTCTTCTTTTTTAAAAAAAACTGTAAAGAAGCTATACTGCTAAGCATAGTTCCCACCAGTATGGAATCAATTATTCCCTCTCCTGCAGGGATAAGTAGCCAAAATATAAACAAGTATATCAAACTGCTGGAAAAATCCTTTTGTTAAAAATCTTGCATAAGTGGTTTGGAATTCTTCACCCGTTGCTTTCGTACACTATTTCTGAATTTTAAAAAAGACAGGTCCAGGCAAATGTGGAATCACCGTGCTCGTGCTGAGTAGCACCTCATGTATTCCGTCATCCAGGGGTTGTCTGGTGCAGCAGATTTTGCTCTCCAGGCTTGTTCTACTTCCGCTGAATGAATCCGCCTCTGAGACAGCTTCCTTTTTTCCACTTGCCTTCTGTTCTTTGCTCTCAGTGCAGACTCGTGGATCTAACAAGAGATATTTAAGTGTTAGATGATTCTTGGTGGCCATCTAGATGCCTGTGAGAAACCTGCAAGCAGGATTTGAGCTCAAGAGCAGTCTCCCCTCCTGTAGTTTCAAGCAACTAGCATCCAGAATCCCAAAACTTTGTCTAGTTACCGTATTTGATATGCCAGTTATTATCTTGCTACAGTCATACCTTGGTTCTCGAATTTCATCCGTTATGGGAGTCTGTTCGACTCCCAAAATGGTTTGAAAACCAAGGCACGGTCAGGTTTTGGCACCAGGCAAAAACCATTACAATTTTGCCTCTTTTAACTAAACGGAGACTGATATTTACTGCTGCTTTTAAGGTTTATTGTGGCTTTCCATATGCTAACACTCTTCTGCTATTTACCACTTCCATTTTTAAACTATTGGATAGTATCTATTCTTGCTTTCATTCGTAAACCACTTGGGAAAAGTTCTTCAAACTGAAAAGTCAGGTGCACGTTAAGTAAAATAAAAAACGTGCTAATTAGCTGTGCACATCCAATATTGAATCACCAACTTTTCATAGGTGAGTGAATATGCATGGCATTGGGTTAGGGTATGAAGCACAAATGCAGTAAGCTCAGCTGCTAACCTGAGAGGCTGAAGGATTTAGCCATCCACTAACCTGCAGAGGTTGTACAAAGGCATGTTAGGCTGTGTACAGATATGTTAGCCATCCAATCATAAATATGTGCAGGCTCTATTATAAACGCCATTTTTTTCTATTCAGTAGCAAATGCCAGTATCTGTTGGGACTTAAGTAATTCACTCTTAATGACAGATGTCCATTTAAAACAAGCTTAGATTTACTGATTTCAATGCACTAAGCTAGACTAAATCTAGATATGCAAATTTAACCAGTACGTGCTGTATTATTTTACACACACACACACACACACACACACACACACAATAGCTGCCTTTCTTGTATTTCTTCCATACTGCTGTCAGAACTACATTAATATCCTTTATGCTGAATCTAACATTTCACAGATCAGCAGCACTTTTGCAAGAACTTACAGCTTCCCAATGTCATTCAAGTACCAGGAGCCTACCGTCAGTACTTTCAACCTTTTATGCCATACCTAAACTTGAGCTCACTCTGCCTTGGGACACTTGATGCTAACTGCCTGCTGTTTTACAAAGATTATTCTCTCTCATATCCTGACAGGGGGTAGGCAACCGTTCTAGCATCAGGAATTCCCTCCACAGCAGCACTGAAACGGCAGCCAGAAACAAACAAACAAAAGCTTTGCATTAATTAGAGTTAGCAAATAATGTTCCAATATAATCTGTAAACAAGGTGGAAGAAGATTCCACTTCATAACTACAGCATAGGATGCCAGTGACAATGTTGCAGCCCATTACCATCAACCAAGGAATATAATTGCAGAAGATCAATGGCCAACATTCCATTCACAAGGTCTAGTAGGTGTCTCAGTACAATAGGGCAACTTACTATGGAGGAATATGAAGATGCCTGTAAGTGGCAAATGGATTCCTATAGGCTCTTCCCTCATTCATTTATCCCAAGCTTTGAACATGTTGACATCAGATACTACCCCTTTCCCTTCCATTTTGACACACCCACACAAGTAAACTGAAACTGAAGCCATGAAAACACATAGGTTGTTTTCACTTCTTGAGTCTGGGGAGATGGTTTCTTCTGGACAGGGCTGCACTCCCCTGAAAGGAGTAGGTCCATAGCTTAGGGATGCTCCTGGACCCAACATTGTCACTGGAGGCTCAGGTAGCCTTGATGACTATTTTTGAAAGACTGCCTCCTTCCCTGCAGACCCCCTCAGGTGTTAGGATCAGCAGAGGGGGCTCTCTGGGGATCACCACGCTGGAAGTTTAAGGTGGTGGCAGCCTAGGAGAGTGCCTCCTCTGGGGCAGCCCCTAAGCTGTGGAATTCCCTCCCCACAGAGGTGCGCCTGGCACCTTCATTGTGTAATTTTTGTCATATGCTGAAGACACATCTCTTCATCCTGGCTTTTGATACCTGATATATAGAAGGACCCACCCTATACTCTTGCTTGTAGTGTGCTTAAACTATTTTTAATATTTTATGAGGGGACCTCATGAGTTGGCACAGGGGCCGCTTTGCAGCTGATGGGTTCAATAGTATTCCCTGCCTTTGGGGATGGCACAGTCAAAAGTCTGCTGGTATCAGTTGGCTGCCCCAGAGCACAGGCACAGTAGCAGAAGGGCAGGAAGTTAAGACAACATTAGCCAACTTAACTACAGTTGTACCTCTAGTTACAAACTTAATTCATTCCGGAGGTCCGTTCTTAACCTGAAACTGTTCTTAACTAGAGGCGTGCTTTTGCTAATGGGGCTTCTTGCCGCTGCGCCGCTGGCACACGATTTCCGTTCTCATCCTGGGGCAAAGTTCTCAACTGAAGGTAACTCTTCCAGGTTAGTGGAGTTTGTAACCTGAGACGTTTGTAACTCGAGGTACCACTGTATAGAATATTAAATGTCAGTAGTTATTTTGCCCAGCATAGGATGACAAAGAATGAGGAAACAGCAACATCCTAGTTCACTGTGGGCACCACACAAACCTGGGCTGACCTTACAAGTGTGAAGGAAGGAGTCAGGCAGGAGGGCAAGGACTTAGACACACAACCCATAAGTATATATTTCAAGTTGCCTTACTTCATTCACAGAAGCGGATGCACAGACATTGTGTGTTTTCTGGCTCCCAGTATCAGTCTGTTTTTCTCCCCAGCCATACAAGGCAAATGGGTGTTTCAACTCCTTTGCTGCATGTATCCTTTGAGGACTTTTCGCCCGTCTTCTGTCACCCCGGCTGCCCAAAGCACCACGACTCGAAGGCTGCCCTTGGGGGCAACTTGCTGACCCGCCAGCTCCTTTGGGGGCAGACTTTTTGCCTCCACTCTCAACTTCGGTTTTCTCCTCAGCTTTCTCTTGGTCTTCATCCTCTGGGAGAAAAGAAGGAGGGTTAGGTTTAGCCTGCCCACCTTCCAGGGCCGGCCCACCCGAGAGGCACACTAAAGCAGCTGCCATGGGCGCCTCACCCACTGCCACCGGACAATACAAATTAATAGAGACAAAGGCTATTTGTGTCTACCAGTAATGACAGCTAAGTTCTACCTCCACTGTTGAGAGGCAGAACACCTATGCATGCTAGTTGCTGGGGAATACAAGCTGGGAGACCATTGTTGCACTGATTGGACACTGTGAGAGTAAGATGCTGGACTAGATGAGCCACTGGCCTAATCTAGCAGGGCTCATCTTATGCAAACCAATGCAGACTGTTAGTGTACCATAACTCCTTTGATTTATCTGCACTGTAGGTAAAACTTACCTACAAGAAAGTTCGCCTGGCACCTTCATTATACACCTTTAGGCGCCAGGCAAAAACATTCCTTTTTAACCAGGCCTTTGGTTGATCTGATTTACACTCTGTGCCCTTTTAAAATGTGTTCTTTTGGGGAGGGGCTATGGGGTTGCTGAGGGACGTGGGTGGCGCTGTGGGTTAAACCACAGAGCCAAGGACATGCCGATCAGAAGGTCGGTGGTTCGAATCCCCGCGATTGGGTGAGCTCCCGTTGCTCGGTCCCAGCTCCTGCCAACCTAGCAGTTTGAAAGCACAAAGTGCAAGTAGATAAATAGGTACCGCTCCAGCGGGAAGGTAAACGGCGTTTCCGTGCGCTGCTCTGGTTCACCAGAAGCGGCTTAGTCATGCTGGCCGCATGACCCAGAAGCTGTACACCGGCTCCCTCGGCCAGTAAAGCAAGATGAGCGCTGCAACCCCAGTCGGCCACGACTGGACCTAATGGTTAGGGATCCCTTTACCTTTTATGGGGTTGTTGTTTTTATTTTTGCTATGTATTTTGTGGTTTTATATCTTGATTTTATTCTGTGAACCACCATGAGACCTCCAGGTATAGGGTGGTATATAAATTCAATTAAAAAAAAATAACAATCAACTCTTGCTTGGTGCACACAAGAGTCAGCACTGCAAAGCAGGAAAAAGAGCCCTCCATTACTAAGGTTTCCAATCAGACAGTAGATACAGCAACAGTGGACAGGTGTCAGTGATCAGAGCTGCATAGTATTACCGAAAGGTGCAATGCCTTCTCCTATACAAGAGGCCAGATCAAAGGCGGCTATGGAGCCTGTGTTGTTAAAAAACACAACTCCCATCACGCACTAGCTTGGCTGGCACAGTGATGCCGTTTGTGGCTACATTACAATTCTTGCACCTAGCATGTAATAGTCCCTGCTCTTGTTAGTGCCTTATTTTTGGTTGGAGAATGAAAGCTTATGCAATTTTAAAGATGCAAGATGCCATGGCAACAACTTACATAAGCAGCCATGAATCCGTGTGAGAATCACTGACAACTAAAGAAGTCTCTGCAAATGCTGAACACACTGTGTGTGCATACACACACACACAGTGTTCTTGCTCATCATTACTCTTGCTTGTCAAGGCATGATACCGATTTTCATCATGGGAAAGTAATGGGAAGTAATGGAGGAAAAGAGATCAGTGTCAAAAATAAAAACCAGCTTTCTATAGAGGAAATGTCTTTGCCTCCAAGGTACCAGTGTGTCACCAGAAGACTAGGTTATCTACGCTAGTGTCACATTTGTGACAATGCTTTTAAGTTCCAAATAAATACTGTCCAGGAAGCACAGCACAGAGAAAACTCCATGCTGTCATTCATATTAAGGTTTGATTATCTTAGCAAACCTCAAATGGTATTGCAAATTTGTACAGGGGTACTTGCATGGACTTATCCTGCCAACCATCGCTGTATCTGCCGATAGTATATTCCATATATAAGTCATGCACATTTGTTTCAATTTGCAGGTGGTATCTGCCCACATTTGATATCCTCAGCATTTGAAAATCCATTTTAAAAATTTGATCCCAGCTGTCAGCAAGGTAACATTCCTAGACGCAACCAATGTCATAGGACACTTCACAAATTTACGTTTTCAAAGGTTCACCGGAAAGGGAAAAAAAGACTATGTGTGACATACCAAACTTCCATTTGTGTATACATAAATTGTGCAGGTACAATCAAGCAGACTGCATGAGTTGCTGCTCCCCTGTTGTGAACGCACTTACTGACCCATCTGAGTTTGCTGCTGTGTACTGTGTAAAACATCTGCCAATTAAGTGTATTCTGAGAACTAGGGCACAGTCTATATAGAGAAGCACATTAATTTCCCTGGAGGACCCTGAATGCGGTTTGTGGCAGCTGGTAAGGAGGACAGAGTTGTGAGAGGCCAGCAAATTCACCCGCATATTCCTCCCTAGTAGCCTTACCGGCTTGGAGGCCCAGGAGTTTTGTCAGGATTGGGAGAGAAACACTAGCAGGGCCTTATTGCCACCCTCTTTTTCTTTTGTGCTTTTTTTTTCAACCACTGTTGCTTCCATGGTCAAGTAGGAGGAGTTTCTTGCTGTAGATCCTTGTGGGCAACAATTCATACCACTCAGGGCCATGGGTGTAGCCAGGATTTATGTTGGGCAGGGGCAGAACCTCAATTAGTTAACTATTCTTACTGATTTACTTGATTTGGGGGGGCAAATACCCCCCCCCAGCTACACCCATGCTCAGGGCAAGAGCCTGGATGAGATGGAAGCTGTTCAAAATCTACGAAGTGAGTCTGTTGGCTCAGAGTGGAGCATTCTTTGTATGAGAGATGGTGGGAAGCAAGTGGATTACCTCAGCATCTCCACCAGAAATGAAAAATGGGGTGGGAATTGTTGGTTGTTTAATCTGTTTGAATGTCTTCTTCTTTTTTTACCTAGGCATTTGGTTAAACTGGAAAGTTTAATGTTTATCATTATAGCATTGTTGCTTCCCTTATGAAAGAACTGTTGATTTGTTGTTTGTTGGACCTGTTTATATTAGATGGTGATGCTTTTATTACTTTGATCCTTATTCTGGGGTTGAAAATATTCAGTGATGAATAGGCTATAAATACTGTAACTAAATAAAGAAGCTACTTTTACTTTCTGTTAAATCAGAAAAAACCAAAGGAATTTCAGAGTGTTTTTTAGGGTTATTCTATTCAGAATACTACTGAGTTGGGTGTATTCTCAGTACTGTGCTGGTATTTCAGTTTGGGCCTTTGGTGAGGTCATTCTAAAAAGCTTATAAGAGATCAACACTTTAGGGATGAAATCAAAGCTGCATTCACCAAAGCTGGCTCCACTGATGCCAACAGCAGCACTCAAGAAGTGTTGTCAGGGATGCAGATCTAACCCTTCACTCGTAGTAAGATCATTAAGTTTTGTCTCACTTTTTCGGAAAACAGATTCTAGAGTCTGCAAGTAAACCCAGAGGAAACAGGCTCATTTTTATCTGCGTGCCTAAGATTTCCATGGTCTTAAAGCAATCCTAATTCTGCGCAGAACAGGGCATCATGCTATTACCACCACAGAGTGGCTGGAAGAATGGCATCATCCTTACGGCAAGTGTGGAGAACCTCCAGGTGTTGCTGAACTACAACTCCCACCAACCCATGCAAGCATAGTCAATGCCAGGGGATGAAGGAGCTGTAGTTCAGGAACACCTGGAGGGCCAAAGGTTCCCCCAACCTGCCTTATGGGCAGCATAATTTCTGCTCTGCACTGCTCTCTAGATACTGTTGCTGTTGGCATCCATCTGCTCTCTAGATAGATATTATTTACATAAGGATGTGGATTTAAGTCACAAAGCAGAAGTCGAATCATCCTTAGTAAGTCCGAGATGGGGAACCTGTGGCCCCATCCTGATGCCGCTGTCCTACAACTCACATCATCCCTGTTCGCTCTGGTCCTCCATTGGCCAAAAAGCCCCAGGCCCATCTCTGGCCCTACACGAATACATTTCAAAAGAAATCCTTAATGCAAGTGGGCATGGCCTATTTTCCTGCCAGCAAAGCTGGAGAGAAATAATCGTCCCTTTCTATTTGGTCAAAGATGGGTTTGCAAAATGCCGCTGTTACGTCAGCGGAGGCTCCGGTAGCAATCTATTCGTTCGTAAGCGAGGAAAGTGTCGCCCGAGGGCGAAAGCGCTTCTCGGCAGGGACGATCCAGCCGGAGATCTCTCGCCTCCGGAAGGACCCGGGTTGGCGCCAGAGGGGCCGAGTATTGGCAGCAACCACTCGATGGCGGCAGGGCAGCGCCGCCTTCGCCCGTTCTCCAACAGACGCGTAAGGAGGAGCTGCGAAGCCACTCGGCGGCAAGAGGCCGAAGCGCCTGCACGGTCCTGGCACCCTCCATTTCCCGATGCGTGCGGAGGGGAGGGCGGCTTCAAGAGCCAAGCCGGACGCGGAGCCCCAGCTGTTAAGATTTATTTAAAACCCAGGAAAGCCGCTTTCTCCTCCGCGCGCCCCCGCCCCGTATTTACATCCAGCGGCAGCTCCATTGCAGAGCAGGGACATCCGGCCACTGTAGCTCGCTCCCTCCCTCCTTCCCCAGCGACTCGTCTCTGCAGCCGCGGCTCCCAGCGCCCCCCTCCGCCCGCCTTCCCGGAGAATGGCTCAAGGTCATTCCGGCAGGCCGTCCTCTTCCTCTCCCCTCGGCGGCGGAGGAACATACCCGACCCGCGCAAGGGCTCCTCGGGGCAGGATCTGTCGGCGTCCCCCGCTGCTGCCGCCGCCCCGCCCCGGCCAGATTCGCCAGACGCCGCTGCTTCTTCTCCTTGCTGGCCACCCGGCGGGCTGGACGTGCCCGGGGGCGACGGGGAGCCGCCGCTGCCGCCGCCGCTCTGGCTGCTGTCCTGCTCCCAGCCGTCCCAAAACCAGGGCCGGTGCGCCTGCTCCAAAAGGCGCCGGCTCAGGCGGTAGCGCAGCAGCTCCTGGTAGCAGGGGCCGCACGCCTCCCACTTGGGCTCCTTGAAGCGCTTCATGTACTCGCTCTTCACGCACCGAGACGGCACCATCGCGCCGCGCCGTCCAGCCGGGGGGGGGGGGCGGAGGGTCGCCCTGCTCAAGCAGCGAATCGGCCGCCTGCTCGACGGAGCCCTCCTGGCCCCACCCTCCCGCTGGAACGTTCAAACACAAACAGCGACGTTCTGCAGCCGCCTCCGCGCGCTTCAGCCAATCGGCACGCGAGGAGGAGGGCGTCCTGCGGCTACGTCACGAGCGAGCTTTCGAGGCTCCGGGGAAACATTCGAAGGAGGTCCCTAGCCGGCGAGGCCGAGGGGACGTCTTGAGCTTAGCGGGTGGGGAGGCTGGAGAGAAGCGCCAGGAAGCCTCGGGCTGCGGCTGTCCTTGTCCCTGGAGGCGGGAGTGGACTCGGGATTTTCTCTGAAGCTGCCCGGTTGTTGGTTTTCGTCTCTGCAGTGGTATTAGTCACCAGGTTTTAGTCACCCACCAACGCAGCTGCTGCTATAAAAAAAAGTACCCCAGATGGGCATCGCACGTGATCGCAGACGGTGCGGGCCACCTAAGGCTTGCTCGCCTGTGCCTGACGCTTTGATGGAGACTAGCTGTCGTTGAACCGGTCAATTTAACCAAATTCAGAGTTAACGTTGCGCAGACCTTTGAAATCTAGCTTCTTGAGAGTTACACGGCCCGAGAAAGCGTCGCTTTGAGGAGTTAAAGGGGGCACTCAATGTAGGTTCATTTAAGGAAGACCGATCGGTGGGGAGGAGACGAGCCTTTTCTGTGGTGACCCCCCAATGCTGCGCCCCTTGGGGAGCTAATTAATTACGGTAATTAAATCTTGTGCCCTTCGAATCTGTCTTCCTAGATTTCTTAAAACAAAGCAACATCCCGAGGCATCAGCCAGAACTGAACAAGTCTACAGTCGATTTTTCACATTTTAGTTAACAATTTGCATACCACTTAATCACAGTCATATCTTAGCAGTGTGCATGAAAGCAATTAAGCACATATCCAGCTAAGATTTAAAAATACTTAATTTTGGCAGGCTTGTGCTCCTCAGTGTTCTCAAGGGTAACGTGAAAAGATTGTATATTTTTAACGGGGGAGAGCACTGTTGTGCTCAGGTGCCGAATTTAGGATTTTCATGGGCATTTGGTAGGCAACCCCTGCCAATGCAGCCAAAGAGTAAGAAGTGGCAGCCGCTTCCAATGAGATCTCACTAGATTTTTGTCTCTTTGTTTTCTTTCTTTTTATTCTGTTTGCACATTTTTTGTTACCAAATCAGGATTGGCATACATCCAGATTTTTCTGGACATATACAGAATACCACAGTTGGCAGCAGTGTCCAGGTGGAAATCAGTAAAATGTCCTGGAAAATCTGGATGTGTGGCAATCAAAAAAAGGCATTTCCCCCCTTCAGTTTGGACCAATAAGCTGAACAGCTTTGGGCACAATTAAAAAAAAGCTCAACCCTAAATAAATCAATAACAAATTTAAAATTAAAAAACACACAAATAAACAACAGAGCAAACGAAAGGTAATAAAGGACAAATTGAGGCAAATGCAGTTCCTCCTACTTAGATCTGGTTGCAACTGAAGATGAAGATAGGGACCTACGACTAGCAACTAAAATGAGTGAAATACACTAAAATACTAGCATTCAAGGTGAACTTCATCGACAACAAATGAACATAAACATAACTTAAATTTGAGCATTTCATTTAGCTCAATTGAAGGGGGGTTATGTTCAGGGGTTTTTTAAAAAATAAACACGGAGAATAAATAAAAATAATTGCATCATTAACCACCATCAGTATAAGGACAGACATTTGAAAAGATCTGGACACAACCATTTTTTCCTCCGGGGATACTGCAAAAGAGATGAATGGAAAATCATGTTTTGATGAAACGTGACTTCTTTACCGATGGGAGGTGATGAAATCTTGTCATGTATTATTATAGGCTCTCTGGCTTTCAGTAGGCAAAAAGACCCCAGGAATTTTTTTGTGGCGTTCAAGGACAGGTTTCCCAGACAGAAGTGTTTTTGCATCATCTCCATCTCCCAGGGCAAATAGAGTAGCTGTAGTCAAGTTCATTTCCAAATCTGCCCACTTGAGGTCTCCTTGAGACTTTAGTATTTATTACCTTCCCATAATGACTTCTCCATTAAAGACAGTATAGTGTTGCTTGGTGGTTAGCATTACAAAACAACCGTGAGCTGGAGGTATCTGTTTTTTCTCTCCGCAGTTTATGAACTGACTCACTTAGCCAAAGTCAACAGTTCATCAGTTACTCAAAACATTAACTGTGCCAAGATACTTCTACATGAATGGCATTAAGAAGCAATTAGAATATAATAAAAACCCATGTTTGCTGAAGCAGACATTTCAGTTGTTCATTTACCAAGGGGTGTGCTGTGCCACTCAACTCATTTTAAGCAGGGCTGGCTCAACTGTTACGCAGAGTGATGCAGCCACTTCAGCTGTCTTGAAAGGGCAGAAAACTATTTGCTATTTAATTTACTGCTGTTGTATTTTGATGGCCAGGGGCAGTGTGTATGTGTGGAGGGAGAAGAGCTTTTCTGTCTCAGGTGCCAGAATACATAGGAACAGAGGAAGATGTCTTCTACTGAATCAGACCGTTGGTCCATCTTGTTCAGTATTGTTTACACTGACTGGCAGTGACTCTCCAGGGTTGGAGGCAGGAGTCTCTCCCAGTGCTACCTGGAGATGTCTGGGATTGAACCTGGGACCTTCTGCATGCAAGACAGATGCTCTGCCACTGGGCTGTGGCCCCTCCCTGTCAAGAATAACTCTACTGGCCTTGAGAGCTATGCAGCTGAAATTGGAGTGGGTGAGGTCTCTGATTCTTGCTGTACTTTAGACAGTCAAATGGAGACTGTTCCTGGGGAACCTGCGGCCCTCCAGAATAAAACCTTGTCAATGTTTCAATACCAGGAAAATATGTTTTGTTTCCCCAGGAAATTGTGCAGCATCAGTGATATTGTTAAATTGGTACAATGGTACCTCGGTTCTTGAACGGCTTAGTTGTCAAACAAATTGGCTCTCGAACGCCGCAAAACTGGAAGTGAGTGTTCCAGTTTGCGAAAGTTTTTTGGAAGCCGAACGTCTGACACGGCTTCCACAGCTTCCGATTGAGTGCAGGAAGCTCCTGCAGCCTATCAGAAGCCACACCTTGGTTTTTGAACAGGTTTTGGGAGTCAAACAGACTCACCAAATGGATTAAGTTCAAGAACCAAAGTACCACTGTGTGTGTGTGTGTGTGTGTGTGTGTTTAGTGACTTAGGAGCCCTGCTGGATGAGGCCAGAGGCCCATCTAGGCCAGCACTCTGCTGTAACAGCAGCCAACCAGATACTGGTGGGAAATCTTCAAGCAGGACCTGAGCCCAGCAGCACTCCCCCCCACTTATGACTTGCAGGATACTGCTTCTGACAGTGGAGACAGAACACAACCATCGTGGTCAGTAGCCATGAATAGCTTTATCCTTCATGAATTTGCCTCATCCTGTTTTAAGGTGCAGTGGGATTTAAGTTAGTGGCAGCAAAGCTGTGTCATTAACTCAAATGGGATATAGTTCTGATTAGCTTTAGCTGAATAACAACTAATGTTTTGGCACTTTCCCTAAAATCTTCACTCCCCCCCCTTCCCCACTAGGAACCCAGTTATGAATAAATGTTGAATTATATGAGGTTTTTACAACTTATTTAAATGCTCCTAAAGCTGAACAGCATCCATAACTAGACTTGTTGGGGCAAAATAACATCAGGGTAATATTATAGCTCGTATTAGAATAATATGCTTGAGTATGTGTCAAGGATGAGCCCTAGATAGCTGTTAGAGGTGGACCTAGGAATTGCCCAGAACCTGGAAGACTTGGTTGCTCAGGCAAAGTTCCGGACCAATTAGAAAGCCTTTTATAGCCCTTTCTATGCAGGAAGGCCCAGTGGAATTCCTGGTCAACACCAATAACAGAATGAAATAATGCACTCCTGAGGTGATGCAATGGATGTTACCACTTCAGGCTGGAGGTGAGTCCCACATTTCTGAAGGCTCCTTTATCTGTTTGCTTGTTTGTTTTTAAAAATTGTTCCCTACAAGTGGAAGACTTGCAAAGTTCAGATCAGGCCTTTCCCCTGCTAGGCTGCTTTTGTTTCTGTTTTACAGCACCCCCCACAGTCCACTCTGTTTTGAATCATGTGCAAAGTAATTGGAAGAATCCTCACAAAGAAGCAACAGCAAAAAGTGGAAGGCAAAGAACTCTTAGAGACAACAGTTAAGGTCCATTCCTTCCCCTCCCCAACTATGGCAGTTTGTTAGACCCGTAGAGCCAAACACCCCACCTCCTAGGTGAAATCATTCTGCAGGAGAAAATAAGCACAGAGATCATATTTCTCAGAGTCACACATTTCTTGGAAGGCTCAGTTAGCCATGTTAAGATTATATATTTGCCTGTGCTACCTTGCAGTCATTACCCACACTGCCTGTTTGCAATCCTCCGGGATAAGAGATGACAACAGCTGGGCTGTGTGCTGCGTCGCGTGGGAGGGAGGCGTGCAAATTTATGTGTCAGTGTGATTTTGTCAGCCGTAGGCTGCGTCTCTGCCAGCGTCAGAAAGGGAAGGATGGTTGGCCTAAAATAGGGACTCCTGAATGACCCATTTGACATATGTCCCAAGAGGGACAACAAATTGGCTTTATTAGGGCAATGGGGGTGGTGGCATTCAAAGGATGTTTGGTACACCCAAGTTCAGTTTAAATACAGTGGAACCTTGGTTTACAAACTTAATCTGTTCCTGAAGTCCGTTCTTAAACCAAATCTGTTCTTAAACTGAGGTGTGCTTTCCCTAATGAGGTCTGCTGCCGCCAGTGCCCTTCCACCGTCCAGCTTCCATGCATAGACTGAGGTAAAGTTTGCTAACCGGAACACTACTTCCAGTTTTGCGGAGTTTGTAAACCGAATAGTTCGTAAACAGGACTGTTCGTAAACCAAGGTAAAGGGACCCCTGACCATTAGGTCCAGTCACGGACAACTCTGGGGTTGCGACACTCATCTCGCTTTACTGGCCATGGGAGCCGTTGTACAGCTTCCAGGTCAAGTGGCCAGCATGATAAAGCCGCTTCTGGCGAACCAGAGTAGCGCACAGAAACGCCATTTACCTTACTCCCGGAGTAGTACCTATTTATCTACTTGCACTTCCTGCTTTCGAACTGCTAGGTTGGCAGGAGCTGGGACCGAGCAACAGGAGCGCACCCCATTGTGGGGATTCAAACCACTGACCTTCTGATCGGCAAGCCCTAGGCTCTGTGGTTTAGCCCACAGTGCCACCCACATCCACTGTACTATTAAACTTGAATGTTCAATTGATTTCAAAGGAAATGTGCCACCTGTCTAAACCAGTGCTGTTCTAAGAATAGTCCTACATACATCCTTGAGTTCTGTCTGGATCATCTGCAGATGACCAACTGTTAGGCCCTGAAATTGTGTCCAACCCCTCTGGTGAGAATTGGAGCCCCCTCCCCTTGTATTTTTACTCTATCTACTTTGGATATCTTTTCCACAAGCAGATGATTGGGACAGAATGCTCAATGGGCATAGAATGCTGATGGTCTGTTGGAGGGTATGCGAAGGATTAAAATGGAATGGAAGGGGGTGGAACCTTGAACAGAAGAGTTCGACACTGCAAAACATTGTTGCAGCTCCCACTTGTACTATGACAGCTAGGAATAAAAGTGTTAGTGGGGTTCATAGTTTCTGTAGCAGTCCACTCTGCATTACTGTTGTCCCTGAATTGCCCCTTGTCTCTGAATTTCCCCACTGAAATGGAGTTCAAACAATATGGAACATTTTCTCCCAGTCTATTGTTGTTTCATCATATTGCTCTTTTGGTCAGTATCAAAAACAGCTTATTTACTAGGAATCCTTCCAAATGAATACGTATTGTGGGTTCAGTACTGCTTCTGTTTTCTCCAGCATCTATGGGACTTTATTTGCATCAAAATGCCAGTATATATATTTTTTCACCAGTTAATCAGGATTTGCCCAGTCTGTGGAAAAGCTGGTAAGTTTTTGTTTTTTGTTTTTAAAGGCTGTTGCCAATGACCTGAGTATGATATCTGAATGACCTGTTGGCAGTCTTAGGCATCAGTCTGAAAGCACCCTGTCTAACGTGAATGAACTCAATAAAAACAGAGTATGGTTTCTACATATAGCAACCATTTGTGTGTATTCTTTGCTCCGAAGGAAAGAGTAATCTCCTCTTTCATCTCACCAAGTAAATTCCTGGAATCGATTATAAAAAGGCATAGAATACCTTGGTATAACAATAGCATGCAGCCTGCCAGTTGAGATTTTCCCTGCCTCTGGTGGAGATCTGCGCTTACGGATGCTTGAGATAGAAATACCAGAAGTAAACATTTCATTCCCCTCCTAGGGCAACATTTAATGAGTAACAAAGACCTCTGTCCAGCTCAGAAGGTGACACTCAATCATAACAGGGTTTATAAACGGAATAAATGGATTTACATACTTTGTTTTGTTCACCCTTGTCCTGAGTTCCATAACAACATTCCATAAGGTAATGGTTTGTAATTTCCTCAAGTTATCTGGAATTTAGGGAACTTGATTGCCCTTCAACTTGTAACAGGGGACTCCTTTAAAAAAACCACCATTTATATCCCATATTTCCTCCAGGGAGGCATACTTAATTCTCTCACTATCCATTTTTTTATCCCCACAACAACTGTTTGAGGTAGCTTAGGCTGAAAGACAGTGACTACCCCAAAATCACCCAGCAAGCTCCAGGGCCAAGTGCAGACCTGAATCCGAGTCTCCCAACCTAGTCCAATGACTACACCCAATTAGCATCACATCCAAGCTCTGGCCGGACAATACAAGCCTTCCCCAAGTGGCCATGTTTGTAGGTGTGCCAGTGGAGAAGCATGCAGTCCAGCAGATGCAACTGAGGATCACTCAAATGGTCGCAAAGAACGCTGGAGCATAATTCTGGCATTGCATAGCACACTGTTGTGGCCTAGCAAAAGGGCCTTAGGGTACCTTTATGGGCAGTCCCAATCCCAGCTTCATGGCTTCACTCCACTTGTCCTCCAACATTCTAATCACCATACCCATTTCCTTTCTGGTGACCGTGATGTCAGTTGAACCCAAGGATCCTTCCACCAGCACCTGCTTTCCTCTCCATTCCGGTACAACTTGAAAGCAGAGGTTCTTATTTATTTAAGAAGGCTGGACGAGATGGGCCATTGGCCTGATGCAGCAAGCTCTTCTTATTAATGTGACTATGGCCTGTAAGGTCTTCTGCCATAAGCCAAAACTTCAAACCCTCGGAAGTGTAGAGTCAGAAAAAGCAGGCGCTGCCGCAGTTAAAAGGAACATGGATCACTCTTTGGAGTTAAGTCATCCCTGCCCTTTTCCAGCACAGGCAACCTTGCAGTCTGGTTCTTTTTGGTCTGTATAACATCCAGCCATTCATCAGCGATGACCACAAATGTGGCACATCTGTTCCCTTCTGGGCTTGCGGCCTCAGTGCTCTGTAATGCTAAATGGCATCCCCCACTCAGCGTCTCTGTCTGATCAGCTGTCACGTATGGGACACCCCCCTATGAAGCTCACTCTGTATTCCCAAAATAGAAAAGTGCTAATGGTAGCTCAGAGTGAAGACAGATTCCCAGTAAATGTTCCCATTGTATTCCTTCACCTGGTGTCCAGCCCCCTTCTAGCTATGGCCACCACCCCAATTTATCTTGGAGGTGGGGCTTGA